TGAATGGCTAAATGCGGCCCTGAGTGGAAATGCGCTTTATGTAAATCGTTTACGATTACTTTTTAACTTGTTTTAATTTGTGCCGTTAAATAACATCGGGAAGAGGTACGACTAAATTTAAGCGTTTGGTAGGTTTTCCAGAATCCCATATTCCAAAAACGCTACATGAAGTCTATCTAGAAGAGGTGGGCAGTTCAGGCATAGGCGCAACTGGGGGGGGGGGGGCAAAACCGAAATCAGCCACTCCCAAGCCATGTGACAAATCATAATTGGTATATGCAGCTTTACTAATTTGCCCTGAAAGCCTGTATTTTATTTTTGAACTCGCTTGCTACCCGAGCGGAAGATTGTAGGCGTCGGCGTCGTTCGGTGGTAGCCTGGGTGGTAGTGAACTAGTGAGTCATCTCTCAAGCTGCAATCATATTGCCAGTTCCTTCAGCCACCAGCCACCTGTGAAAGGTCATTTTCGGTTATGGGAAAAGTTATAAGCTCGTTAAGAACAACAATGGCTCAAGACCGCCGTTTCTCTAATATTTCTTTTTTATATATAGAAAGAGATGTTTCCGTCGATTCCGTACAAATTGTTAATAAATTTGCAAAAAAAACTAGAAAAATACCTTTACGCCTGTAGTAACATCAATAAAATTTGCTTCTTGTATTTTTTTATAATAATTTTATAATAATAATGTGAATGTGATGCTGAGAATTCAGCAAATTTTCAACTTAGTAGAATGGGAATGCTAAGGAAAAGAGATATAAGAAGATATTGGGGCTGTAGCCCCCCCAAAAGTTGAAGTCTAGTTGCGCCTATGAGATCAGGACATCGAACCGTGAACTAAATGTATAGTCGGCTACTGGATACGCAGATGAAATCTGAGGCTAGAAGATAATCAACGTGGGCGACATTCCGACGACAAGGTACAGACTTTTATGTTATTCGGGTTATCAGGGAGTAAACAGAATCACATATGGTTTCGTACGTAGTAACTTGGTATTTAATAATTTAGATTTGCTTATTTAGAATTACTTGTCATAATGTTTACTAAAATAAATTTAATTGCCTGGCCAGTAGGTATATTTTTGAGGTTAGCTAGACAATAGGCATTTGTCTTTTTAGGACCACTGTAAGAACTTGATTAATTGCATTTATTTCATCATAATAAATGTGTTCAGTTTGAGATAATCTCTTGTAATTTTTATGACATTTATAACCCCCTACAAAGGAGTAAAAAGGAATTTTTAATTATTAATGAAATTGTCAGTGACGGAACAAACAATTGGATTCATTTTATCTCAGCTAGCCTGGAAAGTAAGTAGGAAAGGTAGGTAGATACAAACGTACCTACTAAACATGAAGGAAGAGAAGACGAAGTTTGAAAAAAGGATTGAATGCATCGAATCACAACATGAACCTGAGTATATTAAATAAACGTATCTAGACGTACCTTCAAATTCTTTTCGCCCACCCAGAACTGCAAGAACTTTGGGCACTCGTTCTTAAATTGAAATCTTGTATGTGTGGGGTAGCCGCATGAAGGGATTTCTTGCAATATTTTTAATAGCAATAAAATACATATACCGTTATCTTCTGAACCTAAATTCAGCAAACTGTAGTAAAAGTGAACAATCCTGAGAAACCGCTTAAATTGTTATATGACAACCGCAAAGTTACTATTAAAATTGAAGTCGTTTTTTAGCGTAAAAGGGGTGAAACATAAAAGTTTGTATGCACCTGTATCTTCAACGTCAATACTCTCGGACGGTTTGCAATCTTGTCACCTACGAAGGACATAGCAGGATAGTGATACATTGTTCGTATTACCTATATTGATGTCCCCTATTCTTTCGCGAGAAACTAGCCTATATTTATGCCAAATTATTTAATAGAAGGTGACCTGGTGACTCGCAAGAATTTTGTTGATGAGGGGAAAATCCAATGTTTTATCTAACATCGTAAAGCAAATGAATGACTATAAAGTACTATCTATTACGTTCAGTGGGATAGGATACAAAATTATTATCTAAAAAGTAATTATGGTTTTTATTTCTTAACCGCTTCAAGGATTCTCGTATTCAATGATTACAGTCAAGGGAATAAACTGACCTATAGGTACAAACACGAAAATTGAAATTCGAAATTATAATATTACATAACAAAATTAGATTATCTTTATTTAATGAGAAATCCGTATTACACATTGTGATAAGAAGGTACATTTGCGCAGCAACGCCCCATGGGTATTCGGGGCTACCCATCGTCACATTCTGTTCACAGACATCTTAGTTTGGTACCTAATTAAAATTAAAGTAACATTTTTAAGGGTGCAGAGTGAATACCGTGAGCATCTTTGGCGCAAGCCGGTTAGTTTTAGCTATTTCTTAAAGGATCGGTGGACCCAACTACCCTTAAAAGTTTGGATGGCTGGACTACACCTCCTACTTTCCGTAAGGATCAATTTTAGGTTTTGGTAGGTGTCTGGGCCTGATACTTGTATTCGTATTATTAAAAAAGCAGTAGGTAAGTACGTTGATTTATTTAATTTTTTTAGTGAAACGTGAATATGAAATCGGTAGGTGGGAAATAAATTGCAAAACGAAACATCAAAAACACTTTTATCGGAATGAATAAAGATAAAAATGTGTAGGTACTATTTATTTGTTTGTTGGTTTGTTTGCTTGCTTGCATGTTTGTTTTTGATTGTTTGTTTCTTTGTTTGTTTGTTTGTTTATTTATTTATTGCCCTCTCTTGCTATGGGCCGTCAACAGGCTTTCGCCCAATTACAGAGTGACATAATGCTTTTTAGAGATGCCCCTGCAGAAAGTCTTAAGTTGTTCATGCATATACGCAAAACCTTTTGCGCGTTCAACGCTATAATCGTATTGTATTGGGAATAGCGAGAGCAGGTGGCACGATAGTAGGGTAAGTTGGGGAGAGCTGCTACACCACCACTCCAAGGTTACCACACGTTCAAGGTCGAGGTCTTGGTTACTTCACGGTAGAGGTCATGGTTACTTCAAGATTATCACACATTCAAGGTGGAGGTGATTACCACTCCTCAAGTACCATACAGTTAAACGAGCCACCCATCACCAGGATACATAAAACACAAGTAATTTTTAACATACTTACATATTAATTTTTTAAGATACAGCGCTCATACTTTAAAAAATACAGATATATTCATGTCAAAATGAATATTAAAGAAATTGTGCACACTTTGAAGGTTGTCAATATACGGTGGACAGCTTCGGGATACATCACCACGTGTACCATACTAGTAATTACATACGAAAGTAGCGTTTACTTCACCTCGACATGTTGGTTTTCTCTGTAATAAGATTGCGTACACACAATTCGACCAGCGCAGGTGTTCATCTAAAGCAACGGCGCTACTTTTCCACTGATTGATACGAACGTTACAGAAAATACATTTTACAATATCACCAACTTGTATATACACAAATCCAGCACTTGCAAGGGATTTTGGTGATTGCGTTCCTTTCCACGATTGGTATGATAATAAGCGCTTATCAAAACAGAAGTTGTCGGGATCCACATCTTCTCCACACATCTTGAAATAATGATTACCACTGCTTGGGCGCTTGTGGTGTATGCAACCAATCATACATTAAAGTATAGCAGCTTTATGTATCCCCTCCACTGTCATCCATCACACTTCAAGGTTAAATCCACCACACAGTCAATGATTAAATCCACCACACAGTCAAGGTCTCCACACAACCAACGTTACGTGGGGGATTTGGTACTTAATATTGCGATACGCTGTATAACGTCTGCATTAATAAAATGTTATCCGGGCATTTGGAATGGGGCATCTTACCGGTCATTGTCCAAGCCGAGTTGAAGTGGAAACTGGAAACATATATGCTATGCTAAACTAGCGGACATTGATCTGGTTAAGTTTGAAGAGGAGGCCAAAGACACTGTAGTACAATTAATACAAGAAATAAATAGTGATTTAATTTTAAGTAAAACCCTTGTAAGTAGTTTAGTGGATAGTTTAAATATAGTTAGACATAATATTGATTTATTTAATAGCGATTATTTTAAGGATGTTAGCTTTAGAGAATTACCTACACAATACAACTTATTGGAATGGGGTTACTTTATATCAGAATCTTGTAGAGAATATTGTGGTAGATATAGAGATTTAGTTAAAAATTGACTTTGTATAGGTATATAACAAGCAATTTTAATTTGTAAGTATGTAAATATATTCAGTAATGGAGTTAACAAATGCTTGTTTTACTTAATTTCCATATATTTCGATGTCCCCTTTTTCATTGCACTGTCACGAAATCAGTATATCTTAAAAAATAAATATGTATGTGATGGGTGACTCGTTTAACTGTATGGTACTTGAGGAGTGGTAATCACCTCGACCTTGAATGTGTGGTAATCTTGAAGTAACCATGACCTCGACCTTGAATGTGTGGTAACCTTGGAGTGGTGGTGTAGCAGCTCTCCCCAACCTACCCTACTCACGATCTATTCGAACCTAAGAGTTTAGTTTCGTTTCGTTCTGTTTAAGGTCGAGCACGTGACAATAATACTATTTAAAAAGGTACGCCAGTCGAGATCTTTGCGTTCAGAAAAGGGGTCGTGTTTCAGAACTTTTAACGCGCGAGATTTAAATAGCGAGAGAAGTAGGAGAGTGCGCATTTTCAGCTCGATTTAACGAACCGAAATGAACCATTTTGGATGCGTTGAATTTGATTCTAAGCTCATTTTTGCGAGCGGTTACGTACTACGTGAGGCACGATGGAATTGAATTCATAGTGAAGTTACGAGCGTGAGCCCGTACAGAATTGGGTATCTGTTTCCATATTTCTAAAAGAAGTACAGTTACAGTGCGTATCACGTATTTTGTCCAAAATATTAGGTGTGTTCATTTAATCTTCAATGGGCTAGTTGTAGTGGAAACTGATTTGAATCTTCTACTCAGAACTCATTAATAGATTAAAGAAAATGACACAATTAGATGATACAAAAATGTTTAATTTATTTCGTTATTTCTTAGAATTATATACAAAGTCAAATTTTTATGACTACGTAGAAGAAGTTTCGCCCCTTCTTCGCTTGTTTAAAGGATTTCTTGGATCATAAATTTCAAACCAATCATCACCTTTTGTATTGGCATCTTTGGCCAGAACTGGTTCATCATTTATAAAGTGCAACTCGTGTGTTAACCTTTAAAATCACATTAACAGAATTTAAGCTCAACCCTGATATTGCAGTAACATACCAACTATCATCCTCCTTCTCAGGATCGTCGTTAATTTCCTCATTAGCCTTAGCGTTAGCAGCCTCCACTGCTTCTTGTTCTTCTCTTTCCTTGTCCTTGACTGCTTGCAATTTTTGCTTGAACTTGGATAAAAGATTTAGTGTAAACTCTTCCCTACTCGAACCTTTCTTTGGGAATGAATTACTGACATCCTTGTATTTTGCATTGCCACTTTCGTATTCTTGCAAAGTCTCGCTTCTGTGCAAGTCTTGCTGGTTTTGCGAGGCGTCTTCTTTGAGTTTTTGTAGTTTATTTTTGTGGTACTCTTTTTTCACGCTCTCAATCTCTTTCTTTATTTCTTCCCTAAAACACACTTTCAATAATAAATTTGAAAACCTTGTGCTAATTTTTACTGAAAAAGTTGCCATTCACTTCAGAGGAATAAAATGGGTTTGGACTCAATTTGGACTTGAAATAAAAAGTACAATACATTGTCAAAAGCATCATTGATAATAAAAAAATTTTGTACGGAAATGGTCATGAAAAAAAAATTAGTCAAACTGAATGTATGTGAATGGTGTCTACTCAGAGATTAGAGGCAATGGAAGCAAGGTGTTGTTTAAATACCACAATACAAACATATTGACCTGGTGGATGGTATTGTATGTCCGAGCAAGAAAAGAAAAGCAGTAAAAATAGGAGTATTGCCTAGAGTATTGCACTCACTGTTTTCTTTTCTTTATTTCATCTTCATCTTCAAAGAGTAACGATTTCTTGATGTAAGTCTTTTGTGATTCGGCTTTTAATTTCTTTCTAATATTTTGCAGTTGCTGCTCTAAATCCTGCTCGGCCTCTCCATCTTCAACATGATCACGCTTTTCCCCAAAAGAAGTTTCGGCACTTAATTTTGGATCGTTTAAAACATCATGTGTAGATTTACTCTTCCCTGCAAATTTTTTGGTAACTTCCACAACCTCCTCTTCATCACCCTCTGCTTCGTCTCCGAACGACAGCAGCTTAAAGTTCCTAAAATGTGTTCAGCAAGATCAAGGACACTCTAAAGTGAAATTTGTTTACTTCACCCCAGGAGTTTTCACCTTCTTCTTCTTTTCCACTTCCGGAACTTCCTTTTGTCTGGGTACAATGTCGTCAAAATAATTCAACAAGACTTCTGTACGAAGAATCTTATGAGGAAACACTGGACGTTCGTCCTCGATTAACCCATCCTCCAACTTAAGCATATTAAACACTGTTTCGCCTGTAACTTTACCAAAAATTGTGTGTTTATTCTGCAGTTCAGGTGTAGCAGCGAGTGTAAAGAAGAATTGTGATCCATTATCATCTGGGCTTGCATTGGCCATTGCCACTAGACCTCTCCGTACAAATTTGAGGCGTTGATGAAATTCATCTTTGAACGGTTCGCCATAAATAGACTCGCCACCTGCTCCGGTACCTTCCGGATCTCCACCTTGTGCAATGAACCCTTTAATGACACGATGAAAGATGGTATCATCGTAATAGCCCTCCATGCATAGCTGTATAAAATTTCGACATGTTTTGGGAGTTTCCTTGGCCCATAGCTCTATATCTATGTCACCCACCGTTGTTTGTAATAAAACCTAGAAATCTGTATTAATAACAACAGTAATGCTACCCCTAGTTACCTTCGCTGAGGTTGGTGGTTCCAAAATATACACATTGCTCATCCCGACAGATTGTTAATTAGAGCTTCTGATTTTATAGCTCTTGTATTGAAAATGGTAAATATACCCCTTCCCAATTAGTTAGGTTATGATTAAAAAATAAAAGTTTGTAGTGGTTCACAGTCCGTCCCGGGCATAGTCTGTGGTGCCGTTCCAGGGTTCTAATGGGTGCTTCGTTTCTACATGGTGTGTCAATTCTTTACACAAACATTTTATCTCCGATTTTGACTCTGTGTTCCACTATATTTTTGCTATTACTCGTACTGAAGTTTTCCACCTTCCCCCTTGTCGGAAAAATGTTAAAAAATACCCAATTATATTCCAAGAAACTCCGCCTCTGGAGAAACTGCTGCCAACATAATATTTTTCAACCTTGAAGTTGGCCGATAAAAATAAATAAAAAATGTGATAGGTTATGAGTTGTAGCCAAATAAAGTTCCCTTATTTTTCAAATAAATAAAACGATATGGCAAATAGAACCGTAAAAGACGCCAAATCCGTACACGGCACAAACCCTCAATATTTAGTAGAGAAAATAATCAGATCTCGTGTCTACGATTCCAAATATTGGAAAGAAGAATGCTTCGCCTTAACAGCGGAGCTACTTGTTGATAAAGCAATGGAAATACGTTACCTCGGGGGAGTATTTGGTGGTAATATCAAGCCTACGCCATTCCTATGTCTCACGTTAAAAATGTTACAAATTCAACCAGAAAAAGATATTGTTGTCGAGTTCATTAAGAACGAAGAATTTAAGTATGTACGTGCCTTAGGTGCTTTCTATATGAGACTAACAGGATCGTCCTTGGACTGTTATAAGTATTTAGAGCCATTATACAATGACAACCGAAAATTGAGGCGACAGAATCGTCAGTCCCAGTTTGAGATTGTTCACATGGACGAATTTATCGACGAACTTCTTCGTGATGAAAGAGTAAGACAATATTTCTCATACTCTGTGAGCTAACATTGTTTTATAGGTGTGTGACGTTATCCTACCCCGCGTTCAAAAGCGATACGTGTTGGAAGAAAATAACGAACTTGAGGCTAAAGTATCCGCATTGGAAGACGATTTGGACGAAGACATCGAACTGGACGAAGAAAAAAATGTAGAACCACCGCCGAAACGTGAGGAAAAGGAGAGACACCGCGAGAGGAAACGTGATCGCAGCCGCTCAAAGGAACGTGACCGCGATAAGCACAGAGAAAAAGAGAAGTCCAAACACAGAGAGAAAGAACGCGATAAGGAAAGGGAAAAAGATAGGGAGAAGGAACGGGATAAGGATAGGGAGAGAGACAAGGATCGAAGAGATAGAGATCGACGAAAAGATGATGACAGAAAAAGAGATCGAGATCGCCATCACTAATTTTATTTATATAAAATGCCAGCAGAATTTGTTTATGTATTAAAAATTACTATCTTATCAATATCGGTATCAATAGGGTTCAAATAAATTTATAAAAATACCAGTCCCTTTCAACAATTTGAAAATGTATCAACCCAAACATATGAGCTTGTTGTCCTGTCTTTGTGGTATTGTTTACTGCAGGATCTACGCAACGGGATTTACCTAAAACTAAGTTATGCGGATGACAATTATAAATAATCTGCTCTTAAAATAAATCAAGAATCTGACAAGTTTCTTCAAAATCCATTTATCATTGCTTTAAATGTTGTCGAAATCACTCCAAAATGTACCTATTCCTTTTCAAGCTATTTCAAAAATCCCCTCTAAATGTCTTCAAAGTCCCCTATCGATTTTTTTGAAATCTTTTCTGCGGCGTTCATACTAAGGGATACACGATTCATATGAAGGAATCTTTTCAGTTCAAAGGGAGGCGATAAATAAGGTTCACAGTCGCGCGATTGCGCAACATAGCGTACGTGACCTGATATCGCTCAATATACCTACCTAAAGGTGCGTTTCCTATGAAGCGTCTGACGCGGTAAGTGTGGCTTTTACGCATGCGGAGACGGCCGCCGCATGCAGGTTAGAACATGCTTCCATTGCTTTCTATTGAGGCGGTGTATTGCGACAGTCGCACCGCATCAGACGCTTCATAGGACACGTATCTTAAGATAAGCGATACATACAACGGGAGATAAAATCGGCGCGACCTGTCACCTGAGTGATAAAAATGTGGGTAGAATACAATATCGTACGCGACAAATCTCCGAGACGACGGCATGCCTCACTTTGAGCGGTATTCGCGTACGATATGAATTTGAAGAATCTCTTCATGCGTACCGTTTATCGCCTACGATATATCGCCTCATGAACGCCGTCTTCACTATGTATCTTTAGAATTACCCAGTCTTTAACATTTTTCCAAACTCTTTACTCCACTTTTTTCAGAATTCCTTCAAAATCTTTCTTTGTTTCTCTTAAATCTATAAGGCGGCGTACAAAATGTTGCACGACTGTGAACCTTACTTATCGCCTCCCTTTGAATTTCTAGAAATCTGTTGTTGCATATCGTGTATCGTCTACGATGTATCGCTTATCGTGTTCGTATGAACGTCACCTTGATAAGGGCATCTAAAAGTTTCTGATGAGATTTCAGCACCTTTTAAATACCCTTCTTGCACCTCGAGAGTCAAGGACCAAGGTAGAGGCTTTTAACCTGCAATAAGCGCATGCGGCGAGGTGAGATTCAGAATAAAATTCAGGGAAGGGGAGAGACTTACATCTTCTCATTACAAAATGGGGAGAGAAAATTTTTAGAGCATGGTGTATCCCTCCGAAACCATTACCCATATTTCCTAGGCACTCACTAGTCATGCGATATTTGTTGTATGCAAACCACGGATTTGGAAGGAAAGGTAAAAACATCCATATAGATATCAACTAATTTTATTTATATACAACGCCAACAAAATTTATTTATGTATTAAAAAATTAGAACCTATCGATATCAGTATCACATAATGTTCAAATAAATATATAACAAGTGACAATTCTATTTTCAACTGGCGCATGTTTAAAATGTAGGCGCATTAAGATGAAATAGCTTGTCTTCGCGCTTCTTTATCCAATTAAGTAATCGTCCCACTGTAGAAATGGCACTACTTGTTTCTATTAAAGGCTCTAAAACCGCATACAGTTCAAATCCACGCGTATCCCACGCTAAGATCGCATCTTGTGGCGTCCTCTCAAATAACAATTTCAAAGGCCTAGTAGGACAATGAAGCTTATAGTGAGCGCGTTTGTAAATATTCATTAGCCTCTTGTGATTGGATGAGTAGGGTGCACTTATATGGGGCTGATAGAACTGAGCTGTCGATTTCGATTTGTACAAGTAATGCCTCACCTCCGGAAAACCGACTTCCATACAAGTTTCCTCCCGAGAGCTGAGAGATTCGTTAATGGCTTCCAAACAGCTGCCCCGCCTGAGTCGCTCGACGACGCGTTGTTTGGCCTCGCTCAGCGACGAAAATGCGTCCCCTTCAACTGTTAACAAAATGAGACAGGCCTGACAATCTTCGGCTAAATATGAAACGTGACCGTACAGGAAGCCGCTGGAGTCAAAGCGGGGCAAGCAAATTGGCGCCCAACAACTTTCCACAGTTTTAAAGCTTTCGGAGGCTTGTACTAAGTTAAATATTAAATGTAAGTCATGAGGATGAATGTAGTATTTCTTCATACGGACTAGCGTTATAAGCTGATTTTTCGCTAATAATATTCCAAACACCACATTCTGAAAACAAAAGAGCTTATGTTAATATTTATGCAGCTTTAGAAGGGACACATTTAACAAATAAATATCTCAAAGGTCACTGAAAATCCACATGTTCATTTAATGATCATCAGTCTTCTGTTTTGAAGTAAATAACAATGACACAGAATCAAAATATATCTTATTTTGCGATGTAGATCTCCCGAAGCTCAACGCATGAACGTGCTTTCCTCGAGCTTAGCAAAATAGGCATTCACCAGCTCTTTCACCTCGTAGTTCAGGGAAAATTTTTCAGCAGTCACATGAAATTTTATGTTTAGCAGGTGGAAGTTTGATGGAGTCAAGTCATGCAATCAATTGCTGCCTGCAAACTATCCAATTCGTACTCTCACATAACTGTTTCACACTTTCCAAGGTAGTCGACTAGCAGAGAGCACTCTTTGCATCCCAGAAAACTAGGGCCATCATTTTCCAGGCCGAGAGTCGGTTGCCTCTCTTACTCCACTGTTTTAACTGTTGCTTTGTGTCGGGAATGTAGTGGTGAATCAAGGTTCCATCCATAGTAACATAGCAACAATCTAAGATCCCACATAAGCCAACCTTCATTCATCTGTTTACGGGGTGAAATACATTTTTTAGCAATCTTAATATGTAAACAAATACAATGGAGTACCCTTAGTTACTTAAAATTAATGTAATGAATATTTCTGTCTGCTTCTATCACATGGAGAGAGCGCGTACGCACTCTCTCACATCGATGCGTACACTACGACCCGCGATCACACGAAACAGTAGTTCTCGCAATTTTAAGTAGCGCGCGAGAGAGAAACATGTGTAGGTATTGTTCCGTGTGAAAATGAAAAAAAACACTGCCCATTATCCGCGCCTTACCAATGTGATCTAAGTCCATTGTTTTTTAGCGTAACACAACGAAGTTGAGGTAAAGCTTATGTGGTCGTGTTTCCGTCCGTCCGTCCGTTCCATCGAGATCTCGGTCCCTGGGCCACCTAGAGACTTCGAGTTTTCGCTAATTGATAGCTGTTATGGTCTATATTTGCCAAATTCGATCAGTTTCATTTAACTCCATATTTTGCGCAGACTGCGCAATGCCAACTTTCATATTTATGGGGATATTTCTTTGAAATTTTAACCATAGACGCTTCTAGTAAAGATAAACATTTCGCACATAGTAAAAATTATGTGGGCATGCGCAGTGACTGCGCAATGCTAACTGTCTTATTTATGGAGATATTTCTTTGAAACTTTATTTAACTCCTCTCTTTCTCTGGACGTGCTTCAATATGCAGATTCGACATTTTGTGTGCTTTTGGTGACGATGCGTCGTTTCAATATTTTGTGTTACGCGGCAATACCCACGAGTGGGTTTTGGAACATTTTTTTGTATATGTTTACTCAAACACCGTGATTTTTCATAACCTAAGGAATGTATCAACTCACACTTATCGAATGAGATACCGCTTGGCGTTGCGCCGTAGACGGTAGGCGTGAACACAACATTTATCATTATCAAACCCAGCCACGTCGCCGCACTGTCCATGCAGCGTTGATAACTGTTGCTTCAAATAGGACTGGACACTGATCAACTGGCGCCGTTCCAACCTTCCTCTAGCGCATGCGCACATCACTGAATCGCCACATGCTTTGCATTCAGGGAAAGACAAACGAAAAAATAACGTTGCGCAGACAGAGAGACATTCGAAAATAGATAAAAAGGATTTGTTTTGATCACTTCTTAACTTGGCAAATGAGTGACAAGTGATAGGTCGCTCAATATTTAGTTGGTGTTGTAACGGGCAGTCGCTTTAGAATATAAACAAAAAAATGCAAAATAAGTTTTCACCTTAACGCGTGTAACTTAAGCGCATTCTCCATGAATTGATCAGCACTTCCTGAAAGCTTATGTAACGGACTATTTATGTGTACGAAGGAAAATAAGTTATGGCATGAATATTCTTCTAAATAAGAAACTTAGCATTGCCCAGTGCATGCATGCACACACCTGATATTTAAAATAAGCAAAATATTTACTACAAAAATCAAAAAAATATCTCTATAAATAAGAAAATTGACATTGCGCAGCGCAATGCGCACGTCTCATGTCACCATAAGAAACTTGATATTACGGAGAATGCGCGTGCGCACTTCTGATTTTACAATATGCTATATGCTTGTCTTTACTATAAAGAAGCATCTGTGATTAAAATTTCAAAGAAATATCTCCATAAATATGAAAGTTGGCATTGCGCATGCAAGTTCAATCAAACCAGAGTATTAAATTTTGACTTTCAGACTTTAAGAAGAGATTGCAGATGCCGTAGAAGCCCAATTTTACAGTATGCCCCAAAATATACAACACTGAATTATAGACAGTGGAGCGCAATTCGGAATTGTATAATATATGACGCATACGTTACTTTATGCAACTGAGGTCTTCAACTCCTTGTATATGTAACGCGAAGACCGTTACAATTCGATCACTAACCACCTTTGAAACTGGATTTAACACATTTCTCGCGCTTTTCATGTGTGATGTCACTGATTGTAACAATTCCAACCTCGCACGAGATGAGCAGTTTGAGTCTCGCAGATTCCAAACCGAGCCATAGATTTTAATCGCACTACAGCAAATTTTCTTCAAAATATAGCCACAGAGATAAGGTTTAAAATGCTGTGGAGTAATTCATCATTCAAAGACCTTTTAGCTAGGCAACACACAACACAAGGTAAAATGTATAAAATCCAAAAACTTATCTGGCCAGACAAATCATTGCTATGTACCTACTTCATGGGGCCTATTCATCAAAAAAATTATGTATTAATTTACGATGAAACAATATCGGACAATGTTCCATACATAACATACTTACTTTAATTTTACTACAAGATTGTATAATTGCTGCACTAATCGTATCTCTAATTGAAGAGCTCAATGGAAGACATTGGACAGCACCTAAGGTAAAAGCAGGTTCATTTTCGGAAAAATCTAGTAGATGATCTATGAACCGATCTACACCAGTTAACAGTCGCCTGAGATCATAATTCCGTCTCTGCTCGTATATTTTCACCAGCCGACTTAAGGTTAAGGTGCTCGCAATTTGGTTAAATACGTAACTAAAAACAAATACTAGACTAACATCAGACACAAAATTCATACTTCAACTGTGCTGTTAATTGTAAGGTGCACTCCCCGGTTTTAGAAACCGCCACGAGTATTAAAGGCTCCTTGAAGAGAAATACGAACTTAGTATCACCTGCGTGTATACTCCTGATCGAGTCATCGTCCGCTTGCACGAAACTGACCAATGCCTGCATTATTCCAAAGTAACTTGCGAATCTGTCTTCGTTACCGAACCTAAACATACTACAGTTGAACATTAGGGTAACTTAAACAAATACAAACCTAGAATAGATGGGCTTCCCCGCAGAGCTAAGCACAAAAACATGCTTGGGCTTGCTCAGCCACTCCTCATCTTGTAAATATTCCTCGTCCTTGCTGTTAGTAGACGTAATGGAGCAGTTTAAGTGAATATCATTATCTAAATTGTTACAATTATCTAAAAATTCGTCTGTCGTAGTAGAGGGAATGAAATTTGAATTCTTAATCTCCTCTAAGCTTGAGCTCATCTGTTCGAAATTTTCGTAGGAATCTGTAGTGACTAGTGCACTTTCGAGAGCTGCCCCCGGTTCTATCTCTATATTTGTTGCCATGACAATTCGATTACTCTATGCTATTTGGCGTGCATTTTTAATACCAATTCATAAAAGCAAAGGCGTATGCCTGTTTTCTATTTTATTTTGTTAATCAAATTAATACATCTCTTATTAACCTTAAATAATATTTATTTTTTGGGTGTGGCTAAACGAACGATTTCATCGATAAAATGCGCAGTGGCGGCAACCGTCATGCAGAAGAAAAGGCGCATTTACATTTCAGGAAATATGAAGACAAAAGGCCGTATTAGACGATGCAATTTTTATTGCAATTTTTGCAGCAATTCATTGCCGCAAGAAATTGAACGAAAAATTGCTCCGTGTATGTTAAAATTGCACGTGCAATTTCTTGCACCAAATATTGCAGCAAGACATTCTGCAATTTTCTGGTTATAGAACTTGTGCTATTTTTCTTGCAATTTTTCTTGCAATTTAGTAACTATTTTAGTAACATTTAATTTATAAAAAAAATAAAGTGGTATGCACTGGAGAACATTACCTCCTTATGCTATATATACAGGTTTGTTATTTAAAGTTAAAACTGAAATAACCTATTTACGAGGAATTCAAAAATGGATATTGCTGCCGCATCTTTAGTTATTGCGTCTGCTGTTGCTCTTTTAAAAAAAAAGAAACAAAGAAGACGACGACATTTTTGGACCAGGCAGTGGCTTGCCAATAACGATTTCACAAAGGGAAACCTAAACCTACTCAATGAATTTAACGAACCTGATGGCCGTTTACACCGACATATTTAAGCCGGGCTTAGCTTAAGCGTACCTTAAAATCCATGGCAACCATTGTCTCAATAATCGTTGCCATGGATTTTAAGCTACGCTTAAACTAAGCTCCACTTAAATTTGTCGGTGGAAACGGCCATGAGTGTGAATAAGTGCGTGCAAATATAAATAATAAATTGCACGGCCTTCAACAAAGGAAACGTCACAAAACACACGTTTCCTGGTCTACAACAGACGTGAAGTTGCTTTCAAGTATTTCCCAGTGATGCCAATTCCACTTTCATTGGCACCAATACATGATTAGAATTGGGTATAAAAAAATTGCCAAATAAATTGCATAGTGTAATCATTGCATCTTTTTGCAATAATTGCTGCAATAATAGCAGCAATAGTTGCTGCAAGGATTGCAATAAAAATTGCATCGTCTAATACGGCCTAACATTAAAATTAATTATGAATAAAACTAATTTTTAAATTTTTAGAGTTATCATTTTCACCATATGTAGGTACACACCTTAGTTCTGTATCTTAATTATTATTTATTATTCAAATGTGTATATAATATTTATTTTTTGTTAGGTTATTACCATGAATAGTTATAGATTCATGTTATTGAAAATGTTTTACTATTATTTCATCGCTGTAACCATTTCTCTTTCCATGTTTATTGATTTCCTTTTTAAAATTTAGGTTATGGTTATATCTTGTAAACGTACGATGTAGAGGGATTGCTATGAACCTTAACAAAATGTACTATCCGTTTGACGGCTCAACGAAACGGATGAACGGAGAGCTATGAACCCACCTTTATGCATTAAGGTGGGTTCATAGCTCTCCGTTCATCCGTTGCGTTGATCCGTCAAACGGATAGTGCAATTTGTTAAGGTTCATAGCAATCCGTTCATATCGTACGTTTACAAGATATAACCATAACCTAAATTTTATTTTGTACTGTACCCACCGTCATCTTCAGTAGGTAGAAACTACTATCAGACTATCACCGCGAAGAACGTAATAGGCGAACACTGTAAAATTTGCTCTTAAACATCATCAATATAACAAACATAACCTTACTCTTGTTAAAAAACGGACCAACGGAAACGTAAAGTTCAACTTCAACCAACTTTTCCGTTGTAAATGGACGATGTACGGTTTTAAAATTGACTGTGTTCTGATTGGCTAACGGACAAACGGAAACGTACGAACGGAGAGGTATGAACCCACCTTTAAGGTTATGAACGTATCCTTATAAGATGTAGGTGTAGACACAGCCAAACGACTTAAAGAAACATAACCAAACAAATCGCTCTCATATTACTAAGCATTTTTCTTGTTAAAATTTTGAAAACGCTAAAATGGAGTGTTTACTTGGAATAAAATGCAGAGATTTTGTAATTGTGGCCGCCGATATGACAAAAGCCCATAGCATTATGGTAATGAAAACCGGTAAGTTTGTATAGTCTTTCTTATTGCCTTCTTACCCCTTTTTTTCAACTAGATGAAAATAAACTGCACACACTTTCTAACAAAATCGTGATGGCTATTAGTGGTGAGCAAGGCGATACAACCCAGTTCGCCGAATATATTGCGAAAAACATTCAACTCTACAAAATGCGCAATGGCTACGAACTCGGTGCTAAAGCTGCCGCGAATTTCACCAGGAGAAATTTGGCGGAAGGTCTTCGAAGTCGAGTAAGCAGACATTTCCTAAGCGTTCTTAGTGAGTCTTTGTTTTTAGAACGCCTACCATGTTAACATGTTATTGGCGGGTTACGACGACCAGGAGGGTCCACAATTGTACTTTGTAGATTATTTGGCTTCCTTGGCCAATGTAAAATTTGCATCACACGGTTACGGAGGCTTCTTTTCGCTAGCAATAATGGATCGCTATTATTCGGAAGATTTAACACCTGAAGAGGCTTATGACATAATGAAAAAGTGTATACGAGAAGTTCATCAGCGTCTCATTGTCAATCTGCCCAACTTTAAGTTGCAAATTATTGATAAAGATGGTATAAGAGATTTACCCGCGATTACTGCCCAAGGTTTAGCTAAGGAGTAGTTTTTGTATTTCTCATTAATTTTTTTAAAATAAATTTTCAGTCTACATTTTGTTTGTATACCTATTTTAAAGATTTGCTGTGGCTTTGATGACTCATGTCATTAAAGACAACTAATTTTGCTATAAAGTTCAATATTAATTTGTTGGCTGGTATTTTTCTTGGTCAGTTCTTTTTTCCCATCCTATTGTCATATTTGTACTCGGTGAACTACCATTTTCTAAATTTAATCTTGCAATGCGAATTATTTGGAGTAAATCTCTGTTTTTAAAGCATGTGTTATATTTGAGGGAGAGAGGCAATACATAAACACAACGTAGTAACGTGGTCCTATTATTTTGTTATTCAGGTTAAGTAGCTTTGTCTAGACGATCATGTGCCATGGGGTTCAGTTAGTTTGGGAGAGAAAGTTTTGAATTAAAACTTGCACAGTCTCTTGGGCTGATGGCCTGGGTACGTCACAAATGTCTAAGAATATGTCCACCAAACTTGGTTCCATTTCGGTTAGGCGGAAATGAGAGGTCAGGCAGACCAACATCAACAAGATCAAGGTTAATTGTAAAAATGATTTAAACATCTTAGGAAAGATTTCAAATTCAGAAAGTCCATTTCAGTTTTTTGGATTCGACAGGTCTCACTTGTTTTTCATATCGCTCTGGGTTTGAAAGATGTTTGATGTTTGAAAAATGTATCTTCAGTATTAAATGCCATATAATAGCTTCATATAGAAACCCCTTTAACTGTTGGTAAAAGCATCGAAGACCGGCAAGTGCTTTTGCAGATTGTCAAGTATTTTATATAGAGATATATCGTGTCCAATCAAAAATGTTTAAACTGTTTTTCAAACCGCTGTTGGCTGGAGGTACTGCATTAGCAGATTCTGAAAAGCTGTTTAAACGCCCTGCAGACGGTACGATTTGTCATACGACTTTGGATCGATAGCGATACTACTGTTTGAACGATAATCGTGCCGTGTGTATTGTTGTCGTTCAACTTATTGTTTACGTTTTTAGGGAATTAAGTTGTAAGGCAAGTTGAGACGATGTCTTCGGCCTTGTACGATAATAAATCGTACCGTCTATAGGGCGTTTTAGGCGTTCTAACGATTTAAACATTTAATAGAAGGCTCTTAAAGCGGGTCTAGTTACTAGAGCAAATTCCAAATTTTCTAGACAGTCCAAAATTTTAGAGCCATTAGGGCGTTTTCCTCAATAATGCCCGAAAGAATCGCATAGTGAGCCGCCATCGAGGTACCCGAACTGAACACAAAGGATTAGCCACCGGTCGAGCGGAGCGGGATGCACTCATTCCTTCTGCGAAATATTCTACATTTTTCTATAAGGTTTGCTATATATTTAAGCAATTAAATTTAGTCTCATCAATATGGAAGTGATAATAAACGTGTAAACAAATATAGGAGCTCCTGGGTTTGGCTATATATAGCATGTGCAAAACCAAATTTTGAACCTGGTGGTAGTTTTGCTTTTATTTAAAGTGTTATGTATGAAATATCATTTAATTGCTTCCATAAATAAGAAAGTTGGCACTGCACATCATGCACAAAACCAAATTTGGGAACTGGCGCTACATTTGCTTTTATTCCAAGTGGCTAGTATCAAATTTCATTTAAATCCCTCCATAAATAAGAAAGTTGGCACTGCGCATGCGCAAAACCAAATTTTGCTTTTATTCCATTTGCAAGTGCCTATATACAGGGTGGTGCCTAGAGCAACGCAGCATAGGGATTTCAATGGTAATTTCTTTATTGTCAATTATAGCTCCCCTAATTATTAATCCACAAAATAAAAAATTATATTTTTATAAATCAGTGATGCTTTAGAATCTTTATAACAAACTACAAGCGCATCGCATCTAAGTTATCGCTGTTTGACGTCGAACGATTTTGATATTTAATTCTGTTAAAACTATCCGATGCAAGAAAAAGCGTCTATTGGGTAATGTTTTTTTAGAGAATGTAATCCTGCATCTGCATCAGATACTATTTGTTTATCATTTTCCGGAATCAGAGTACCTGCCTACATAATCGAAGAAAAAAAACTGATTTGAAGAAGATTTGTTCCTAAACTTATATTCGGATTTTACTGCAGCCAAAACGTTGAATGTATCGTCGTTTGCCTGATAGTTTTGACGGACATTTTGAACGTTATTGCACTTGCAGTTCTTTAACTAATTTATAAACAAGTATAAATTTAATATACGTCAAAGGCAAATAATGAAACGTGATCGCTGTTTTTTTAGGTAATTCCAAGGCATATTTGATTTATTGTAAAATGAACCTTTTTATTTTGTCGATTTCTACGGTTTTGAAAAACGGAAAATTATTAGTAATAGCATGAAAAGATTCAGTATTTTTTTCTCTAAAAAAAAACTTATTTAGACTTTTGCTCTAAAATAATTAGGGGAGCTAGTAATTGACTATAAAGAAATTACCATTGAAATCCCTATGCTGCGTCGCGCTAGGCACCACCAAAGATCATACTACACGCACCACCCGGTATATCAAATTTCATTTATATATTCATTATTCATAAATAAAAAAAATTGCAATTCGGTTTATAAATCCGAAGTGCGAAGAGGGCACTGTGAATGCTGATCGATTACGCTCAACTTTTGGAATTGCGTTTGATATGGCTACAGCTATACGCATATTGAATTTCATGCATATTCGGTTCATAACTAACGGAGGTGTCAAAAGGGTCTTATTTATTTTTTGGCCTACATTTGCCAATTCACGAATTCCGATCTACAAATTTGATAACGAATCCACCTGCAAAATTTCATCGTAATCGGTCCATTCGTTTACGATATATTGTGCTAACGGGCTGGACAGACGGACAGACAAACAGACGGACAGACACCGCAAAATTATAAACTCGCTAGGAGCTCGTTAATAATGAAATACGCACACGTGTTATAAATTAAATGTAACTGGAAGTAAATGATAAATCCCTATTAACTGTTATAAAACAATCCATTTAAAAACCGATATAAATTAAGTTTATCGTTAATTCATAAACATTTAAATTAATATCGTAGGTATTATAATATTTACTTACATTATCATATCAGGAAAACTCATCTTGTATAAGTATATACATAGGTATTATATGCAAATAAATGTAATATGAATGTATACCTAATGCAGATTCTAAGCTTTTTTGTAAATTGTAGGTATACAAACATAAACAACAATTTATAGTGATTTATAGAATATTAAGCTCATTAGGGATCTTTTCTCTGTCGAAAGCCTGTTGAGGGTCCGAAACAAGAGAGGGGCAGTAAATAAATAAATTAAGGTATAGGTACTTAAATTAAATATACCCGGTATAGTGACCTCCAACATCTCTTTGGGTCCACCTAAATGCCCTTCCATACAATTCCCTCTGGCTCTCTATTGTAGGTACGTGTATGCGTCTAATAAAGACTTCGGACCTCATCCCTTGATACTTTCTGATTTAATTGCCGGATTTGACTAAAGTCACGTGGTTCATGAGAATTTTTGTGAAGCACATTGAAATTTAAAAACAACGGATGTTTTTTTTCGACATAACAAAATTGTAAATAGAAATGCAGCACCAATAAGTGGTTATTTTGTTTTCCTCAAGTTTACAGATAACATAGTGAAAAATAATTGGTGAATTCCCATTACCTATCCATAAATACACGTCATTTGAATTTGAAGCCTTGGAAAGTGGGAACTACGTATCCAGTCGATTGACCAATCAGTGATTGTCGTCGTCATCGTAATCACGCAACCACAAGTTCTCGTTTGCGTCTCTCTTTCCCTTTTGGTTAGTTTAGTTGGAAATATGGCGTACGGTAGTGTTGTCAACTTTATCGTCGCGCAAGCTGCCGAAAATGTGAGCGAAACGGCAGCAAATGCCACCACAAAACCTCCAAGTACCCCCGAGGGTATCGCTGTAGCGTATGGAAGTCTCGTAATAATGGCTCTCTTGCCCATATTTTTTGGATCATACCGTTCAGCTTGTGTCCATAAGGAACAGGTAATTGTGATATTTCGTAACCTTTACCTTGTATCATCGATGATAATTGCAGAAACACGAAACGATGACAACAAGGGACGCTGCGATGTTCCCAATAATGGCTTCGATCGCATTATTCGGTCTATACATAATATTCAAGCTATTCTCTAAGGAACACATTAATTTATTATTGACGGGGTACTTCTTTTTCTTAGGCGTTTTGGCACTAACGCAAGTACTTAGGTCAGTTCATACGTGGTTTCCTGCCAAATTTGTAAAGCTTATGTTACAGCCCAATTGTAAGCAAATTAGTACCCGCAGCCGTTCCCAACATAAAGTATCACATTTTATTTACACAAGGAGAGGACGATAACAAACAAGACATTATTAATTACAAATTTACCTCGCACGATATTGTTGCACTTATTTGTTGTCTAGGAGTCGGAGCGTGGTATTTGATCCAAAAACATTGGGTGGCAAACAACTTGTTTGGTTTGGCATTTGCCGTAAACGCGGTGGAGCTCCTACGACTAAATAACGTTGTGACTGGCTGTATTCTTCTTTCTGGACTCTTTATATATGACATATTCTGGGTGTTTGGGACAGATGTGATGGTCACTGTTGCTAAGAGTTTCGAAGCGCCTATTAAATGTAAGTTTTATTATTGTCTTTTATTATATTTGTTGAGTGTGCTGTTTTAGTGGTATTTCCACAAGATTTGCTGACACACGGGTTCGCTGCAAATAATTTCGCCATGCTAGGCTTAGGAGACATCGTGGTTCCTGGAATTTTTATTGCGCTACTTTTAAGATTCGATCATAGTCTAAACAGGCAATCCAAACTGTACTTCCATGCAACCTTCGTTGCATATTTCTTGGGGTTGATGACTACTATTCTCGTCATGCATGTATTTAAACATGCTCAACCAGCCTTACTTTACTTAGTCCCAGCGTGTCTGGGTACTCCGTTAGCTGTAGCATTAGTAAAAGGAGATTTGACTGCGCTTTTCAAGTGAGTATTTTCACTTTATCCTCCTTATCCTTAGTCTTACTGTATTAATAGATACGAGGACAGTAGTAATGAAGAAGAAGAATCGAAGAAAGATGAAAAACAAACTAAACCGGCTGAATCCAAAAAAGTTAAATAGACTTCCTATACTTGAAATCTTCCTCAAATTATTATATGATTAAATCATAATTACCTATATCTCGCACAATGTACATTATTTTGTTATGATTGATTTTTAAAATATATACAAGAACCCTGGTTTGGAACATTATTAACGAAATTATTCTCAATTTTCAGCTTAACGCTACGCTACGTAGGGATCACAGTGCCCTGCTTTCTTACTTCACCCAGTTCGGTCCATTTTTTTTTAGGATCAGGTTTCATAGGATCCTCCACCAAATCTCCCATTGCCATCATCATGTACCACGTTGAATAAATAATGAGCTCTGAGCTGATCCCCTGTACAAGCCCACAGCAAATTTTTCGGTCATTCCAGTGCAAGATCTTAATGTCGTGTAGGTATATGCTCCACCACGGACGTACTTTGATATTCATAGACCCCTACAGGGTGTCTTAAATTGAGTAGGATAACATGGCTATCTTTGGTATTATTCTCGGTATTATTGTACCTACAGATTTGGTTAAATTAGCAAAGTTGTGTAGTTTTTGATGCCAATGCATAGGTATTCCGATGCGATATTTTGAAAAAAAATCGTTTCGTAGATAATTCAAAAAAAGTGAAAATCGTCATCTTTAAAAAGTTCAAATATTTTTTCCAATTACCTACAAAACGATTTATTTTTTTTAAAATATCGCATCGGAATATACATTAGCATCAAAAACTATACAACTTTGCTCATTTAACCGAATCTGTAAGTATAACAATAACAAAGATAGCCATGTTATCCTACTCAATTTAAGATTTAAGACACCCTGTAGATATTCTTTCTTGGGACAGTATATAGTATGCTTTTAAATGAAGATGAGATTAAGCTCCTATCCTTTTTGCCATACTTCTGCAACATTCGTCTAGAACAAACCAGGCGGTATGTTATTCCCGTTGTTTCACTGACTGCTGATCCTAATAAAGGGCACGTGTCCACCTAAGCACCAAGATAAACGGCGGAAATAAATATCCATGTCGGTCGGTGCGAATTATTTTTATTTTTAATACAATTTCATTTGATAATGGATAAATGGTTGTTCATTATTCGATATACGTGTTTAATGGACAAATTTGCGAATTGCGCCTGACAACAATAAATCCAACATTCAATAGAAAATATCCTTGAAAGTTATGACGGGGCGTCCTCACCATTCTCGTTTGTTTTATGAGTAAGACCTTTTGACAACAATTCCTAATTAGAATTAATTTAGTCTTGTCAAAAAAATATTTGGTTTTTTAACTTTTAATATGTTTTTTCTGTTTTTTTTTTAATAAAACCTGGCACAATTTTTATAGGTTGTGCACAGAAAACTAAGGTCTTTCGAATAACTTAATAAATTTTAAGTAGCTATTTGAAAAAAAAATTCAATGCGTTTGCGACGCTCCACAAATTTTTTTCAATAATCCGACTCGTTATTTTTCATTTCAGTATGCCTAATATGCATATCCAAAAAATGGTGATCGCAATAGCCACCTACCTCAAGCTAGGAAGCTAAAAATGTTCACTGATTAGTTTCGTTATAGGATATTTTTAAATTGACTTTGGTGTGAGATATTGTTCAACTCAACTACAACAACAACAAAGATGGTACCTATAGCTTGGACGCTTGATAGGAATGTAAAATGAAGGATGTGTACCAAATTGATGACTTACAAACACTAGTAAAAATTGGATAGTTTTTTATTCCAAACTTTTTAGAATACACATAAATCAAAATTTAAAATTAAATACATAGTTAAAATATACACAATATGAACAATATTTAATCAAATTACGAAAGACTCCCTATTTTTGTAAAAAATAAAATTAAAGGTTCAGTATCACTTAAGTTTTTTATTGTATAGGGTGAACCTAAAATAAAATAAAAGAAATTAACACCAAGTATGGCATATATATACATAAAAAGATATGGTTATTAAGAGGTGCCTCCCTAGTTATATTCAATATTCGTAATTTATAATACGTTGATTGTGTATCTAGATTTTCATTTAACAAATTTATTCCGTAACGCTCACTCAGATCAAGGCGGCGTGTGCATTCAGAGCGAGTTAATCGCCTGACGTTTTGGCGAAATCAATTGTTTTTAATCAATTTCCAACATTAGAGGTCCTTTTCGGAGATGGTGCAGAATTTCTACTTTAAGTCAGTTATTTTTTCATGGGATAGATTGACTGAACTATTAATAATGAGATATAGGGGGGCACTCTCGCTAATTTCAACCTGATAATTCAAAACAAATGTACTATACAAGTTTGAGCAATTACCTCTGCACTTTAATTATTTTATGCAACTAAAAAGGTATTACCTACAATTAAAGAATATGAACTAGATCTGTAATAAGAATATACCCTAGAATAAATAATTCAGCAGACCAATTACCTAAGGGTATGTAGAAGCATGCACTAACGCCAAAGGTTCTTGTAATAAACTGTTGTGTTACTTCAGCATTTCCCCTTTCCACCTTGTACACCTAAAAATAGAGCGAGTAATCAATTCCGTACATTCTTTCCAAATTACTTACAAGTGCGTGGTTTTTTGGAAAACTAGATTTCTTTTGGCCAGGTCCATACAGTATGAATCCACAGGAACTGGTGCACATGTGAGATTTCAAGTTCGTTAAACAAAACATCACACTGATATTTTGAGATGCATCAAGCTGTGGTGGATCGGCAAACCATTCTGAAAGGAATAAGCGAGCTATTACTTTATTAAATTATCTTGCACATTTTTTAAGTAGCATCTACAGTAAAAAAATTCAATTTTAAATAACAATAAACCTGTAGATCCGAGTGCTGACGTCTAATTCGGACAAATGGACAGAATTTATACAAGAATTAGTTGCTAAAAACAGTTTTCAAAAAACACTTACGTAATGGTGTGCTTTGGTTGTTGACTACTGCTTGAATAATATGATCCGTAGAGTGGCTCGGACCTACGGCACCCTTTTGACCATAATTTTCGTTCTCAGAATTGTTGATTTTGGAACCACCTTCTCGACTTTTGACTTTACTTCCACTTGGAATAGGCATGTTTTGAAGAATTATAACTTTTGGTGTACTGCTCACTTCTGCATTATCCTCTATTGGCACGATAGTGTCGTCAGCACTTCCGTCCAACGCAGTAACTCCCGTTTCATTTATACCAGCGGGAATATTAGAATCATCAGGCAAGGTAGGCAGTGTATATGCTTGAGGGAAATCGTGACTACCTAATTCAAAGAAGATTTTCAATACAAAAATCAAAGAAATTGGTCCATACAAAGAGTACTAAATATAGAAGTTCAGCCCTATACAAATACAGTGTCCCACAACGAAAGCTGGCTATCTATACTCCGAAAAGGAGACCTCGAAACTTATTAACAATTTGGCATGATTGCGGCGAGGAACAAGGATAGCGTTATCGAAGAATGTAAGATAGATAGTAATTAGTAAGAGAAGGATTCAGTCAATAAGACTCCATACTGTATCTGGAGGTGCGAACGCACTATAGCATTGATAGTGTAATAATTATATATACAGTGTATCCCCTAATTGATAGGTCGTCTCTTGTAAAAGATAAAAAATCTGCGGACCTACGTTTATATATGAACTTTTAGTCATAAAATAAACCAAAGAATTAACCCCCTCCATATTTACATCATATTTAGAAACAACCTGCATATGTATTGTTGTTTTAATACAGTTCGTTGTAGTTCAAATGGTCTTGTAGGCAAAAAATAAGGCCAACCTCGGAATGAGAGATAATAAGCTGTAAACTTCTGTAAACCTTTATTTTGTCATTCTGAAAGTTGTCTCAAAAGTCACATAAAATCTCGTGTCCGCGTCTTAAGATATTCAAGGTCAAAGGTCTCAAAAGTCGTTTTTTTGCAAATATCTCGTTTCCTATGGTTTTAATGCCATTTGTACTTATTATAAGAAGTGTAGGGAATTATCTACAACTTTTACCCTAAACATTTTTCTATATACTCAACGGTGTTTGAGATAAAGGACGGTGAGCGCGCGGCGTACTTGGTTTATAGTGTAATTCAAGGTCAACCGTAAGTTCAGGTAGATAATACGCCGTATAAAGATTATAAATCGTTAAAAAATATATAATTATAAATAATTTTCATTGTTTTATTGCATATATTGCATAGTTGCGGCCATTATCAAGGAATCACTACAGTCAATTCGTCAAGTTAACGAAGCTTAAAAAACCGGTGCAGTTATCGAATCTTCTACCAACAAGTGTAGCAGCTCATCAACACATTCTACGTGTATACTACCAATTACAAACTTGGTTAGGAAAGGATTTACAGCCCCAGAAATGGGGTTGGGCACTGCGAAATGAAATCCTGGAACCGATAACGACAGTATTACCACCAGCTCCAGATGAATTGCTTAACACAATATTTTGCAAGTGCAAGAATGGTTGTAGTTCACGCTGTGGATGCAGAAAATCGGGGTACAATGTTCTATAGCTTGTGGCTCGTGTAATGGACAAGCGTGCCTTAACGCTTCACCCCATCAAAGTGATCTCGATGAAAACAGTGCATTTGACCCCGAAATTCTGGAAAATCTGGAAACAAATGTCCTTGACAACGATAATAATATTGAATTGCAAATTTTCGACGGTGATGATAATGAAGAAGAAAATTAATACTCAAATATTGCTAATTATAAGATTTTGAAAAATTTGAACTTAAACTGCAAGTAAATGCAATGCAATAGAACATCACTATATTATCATGGTTAATTAATAAACAATGAAAATTATTTATAATTATATATTTTTTAACGACTTATAATCTTTATACGGCGCATTATCCACCTGGACTTACGGTTGACCTTGAATTACACTATAAACACTAAGCGCCGCGCGCTCACCGTCCTTTATCTCAAAAACCGTTGAGTATATAGAAAAATATTTGGAGTAAAAGTTGTAGATAATTTTATTCCCTACACTTTTTATAATAAGTACAAATGGCATTAAAACTATAGGAAACGAGATATTTGCAACAAAACCATTTTGGAGACCTTTGACCTTGAATATCTTAAGACGCGGACACGAGATTTTATGTGACTTTTGAGACAACTTTCAGAATTACAAAATAAAGGTTTACACAAGTTTATAGCTTATTATCTTTCATTCCGAGGTGAAACACTAATATGACTGAACTACTTGTTCCTTAATTATGGAGAAATCGCGACTATAAACAAAAATTTGAAATCAAACTCATTTGTTTCCAAGCATTGATCCACCATATTCAATTAAACACTTACTTAAGCGTTTTGAGTTCAGTACTTCTAAAGGTACAGTTAGTATCTTTCAGATGATGATACAAGCATGAAATTTGGTACGAATCCTCCTATAAGGGTACTGTTTTATATAAAAACGCTGGCCACTTAAAAAATAGGAGTACCAAATTTCATGCTTGTATCATCACCTGAACGATTCAAGCATTTTTTGGCGTTTATCTGCCCCACCAAGTTTGTCTCTTTAAGGTCTAACTTTTTGCTGACGGTCAACTTCAAAAATTTTTTTTCATTGTTTAAGTCGAGGTTTAAGTATACTTTCAAAATTTGAAAACTAGTAATTTTATTTAGTACCTTTTCAACAGTTAAAAACCACCTCTTTTAACATTGCATTAATATAAGCTCCCATGTTTGTAATGCTGAAGAACTGTAGTTTACACCGTTAACAGTGCAGTCAACCGTGCTTTAGTGTTGAGTAATTTCTGTTTGAAGTTTGAAGAAAATTATTCATTCTTATCTGTGCGATGGTGTTGGACAGTAGTACCAATCTCCCTCCTTCTTCCCCCCTCTAACTCCTCATTCAAATAGTGTTATTAATACAATTTGGCTTCCAGCACAACCGGAATCGTTGAGTATCTCTTTAGGCATTTTTGAAATTTATATAATACAAAAATAGAAAATGGTGTTTTTATAAAAATATCCAAGATGGCGCCAACTTCCAGTATTTACGGAAGCGGTGCCATCTGGAATTTCTTTGATTTCAATAGTCGATTATGGTACTGAACTAAATTCCAGGTTTCTATTTCAATTGCAAGTTTCCTTCTAACGAACGGGCTACGTGAATCTCCCTGTAGGTATAGAATGCATAGAAAAAAAAACAAATTTCAAATTATCATGATTTAATCATTTTAATACTTTAAAATGCTTCATTCATTTCATCAATGTCATGGCCATCCTCTTCCACATTTTCTTGGGAACAATTGGGAGCACTATTGTTTTTACTGATTTACTGTTTTTCGCGTTAAAAACATTAATGTTTTGTATGAAAAGTTGAGTGAAAAGTGATACTTTCTGACGTGAATATCTCGAAAAGTATTAATTTTACAAAAAAATGTATAGAAGCTCTTGGAATTATTTTTTTTATTGCTGTGGTCAAATTATAATAAAAAAAATAAGGTGGTAACAACCACCAAGGTGAAGACGTCCTTTCGCATAATGCCTACTGTCAAAATTTCAAGTTAATCAATTCATTTTGAAAAAATTGGCAGGTCAAAGCCTTCTCAAAATTAGCGCGTGATAGACGATTGGGCATGATCAATTTCGGTATTCAGCAAGTTGAGGGCACGTCGTCGTTTTGCAAATATTCAATCAATCCGAAAAATCGTGAAAATGTATAGGTTGGTTAGGAGAAATACAAAGAGAAAGTGTAAACCTTCGAAATTATGTTTTTAAGTTTAACAACCTGTCTGGAAGTATATTCGCGATCTTCTCCATACTTATGACATGATTCGAACTCATACGAATACGGATCCGGATGAACCAGTTACTTTGAAAGCCCCCTATAAACGATTACACACGAAATGCATATGCTAGCTATCTAGTGTAGTATGATCTTTGCTAATAAACTGAATCTATCTCATGAGATGGGGAAAAAAGGTGCTATAGTTGATACTCTCACAAACAGTCAGGCGTATCATCTAATCACTTGATTGTAATGGAAGTTCAATACTTATTCTGGTGGTAGCTGTGCTTTTCGTTTGTATGGTTTGATGCTATTGTCAATAAATGTTATCTTATTTCTTGAGTTTATTATTTTTTGATAAACATGATAATTGTGTGCTGACTTTATAAATATCAATTTTACTACAAAAGACAGCTGTCACCTAATGACCAACGCAGACAATCTGACCAAAGTCTGTTATAATTGAATATTTTGTCATCGCTAGTACTTACATTCATATGAAAAACTCAGACAGAATTTAACTGTACCAAATAATAATAAATGCAGTGTAGGGTAGGCCTATTTATACTTACAATTGATTTTAAGTAACAACACACCAACACCAACTGACCACAATATTGTGTTCAAAGAATAAAAATTGAAAAGTGATCATTTTAACCATAAATAACCTGGTAGATAAGGTAAGAACAACCAGATTACTGGAATAATGGGCAAAGGCGATAAGATTTTATAAAACAAATTTGAACGTTGCACTGGCAAATAATCAGTCTAAAAGAAATCAATTTGGGCTTTTCTGACTCCAAATTCACGTCGTCACTGACCGTGAAAGCTTTTGACAATACACTGTGTCCCACGACGAATGTTAGTCATCTATAGCTTGAAAAAGAGAAGTGCCATAACTATTTTTTTCAAATGGAACTACCACTATTTTATTTCACTATTAGATAGTCTTTTGTGTTCTCTTCAATTTTTATAAGAGGTGTCCTGTGCTTAAAGTCCATAGTTTTTAGGTTCTTCAATATTTTTCACAAAAGTACCTACCCATTAATGACATGTCTACAGGGTGAGTTTTTTTCACTTCCACTATAGCAGGCGTGGGCAACCCACAGCCTGTGGGCCAGGTGCGGCCCACCGATAAGTTTTGTCCGACCCGCTGACATAATTCAGAGTTAATACTTCATAGGGCCCACAAGTTACATTTAAAATTCTAATTATATAAATAATATGATTATGTTACACGTGCAGTATCTAGTAGACGCGGTCCGAAGCTTCCAAGACGTTTGAAAGCCTAATTAAAGATACATTTCTTGTCTCAGAGATATCGCCAGGTATTCTCCAGAATTTTACTCGCGATATATACCGGGTGGGACAATACAACGACACATGTTTTGGAAAAAAAGGTTGCCTACGCCTGCACTATAGGAATCTCTTAAATTAAATCGACTTCATATGAATTCGATTAAATGGGCAACGTTATGCAAAATTTTATGCTGATTGATTATCTTATTCATAAATTATTGTAGCTCTGCAAATAGCAAAGTTATGGCCAAAACCAGGAAAAATGTCATTTTCCAAAATGCACTGGTATTTTCAGACAGAACCAGCTGACATAAGGTCCTATTAAACGCTAACTCACACGTAGAGTAGATTAACTTTACCAGTGCACATGATAGGCATTGGTAAAATACTGACAGATTATTTCGGAGATAAAATTCTGCTTCAACACTTTGATATAAAGCTAGCCGGACTAATAGAAATTATCCTAAAAATTCAAATACTCTCTCGACCAAAAAATGTGCAGAGAAAAACAAACGCAATGAAGCATTTGATAAGAGCAGTTAGAGAAGTAATAATTATTTAAATATGAGCATACGTGTACTAGGTTCGCAGTTTTCAGTTGTGGTGAAATTTGGCATAGTGTCTTGATCAACACTATGAAGTATCTCTGTTCTCTTCCCATTAGGAGATACATCCGTTTTTGTAGCTTGGTGTTTTCGCTGATTGGGAGATGTTTTCGTTTCCTTCCTCCTCTTGGTCGCATTTGTCTCATTTACATGATCATTATCTATCGTGTCACTTTTAATCGAAACATTAATTTTAGTAGTCCGTTTTCTCCTTGTACTGGTAGTGGATGTTTTTCTAGTTGTGTTTTTCCTATCAGAGTTCGTTGATACAGTACTTGCGCTTGACAGTTCTGAAATTAGCTATCTATGTATTATCTACTTATTATCGCCGCCACAAGAGAAGAGCCCTGCGTCATCAATGTACGAATGCATAAATCCAAGGTGTTGATACTTACATCTCAAAAATTTGCGCAACCCAAAAAAGGGCAGAGAACGAAACAAGTTCTTGGGATATAATAGACGTGCGCTTTTGAAAAGCTAAATGTAATGAAAAGAGATAACCTATAACGCTTGTCAAGTTTAACATGCATATTTGATGCTGATTTGACCAACGTCGTAATACTCCTAATTATTTTCAAATTTTCCATAACCTCTTTTGCTCTTCGTTTTCTTCGATTTTGTATAAATAAGCTGTTTTCTTTCCCCTACCTAATAACTAAATTTGACAAGTAAACAACTGAATTGGGATTTGCTGTTGCTCTTTTTAAACCTTTGCGAAACAACGCCATCTAGTACATTTTTCAACAACTTTAATATTGATTATTACGGAACTATTTTGACTTTGATTTTAAATCTTAAATCACACGCTTGTAGATGATGACGCAGGGCTCTTCTCTTGTGGCGGCGATAATATATGGAAAAAGTATCTTATACCATAAATCACATGATAATGTCTTTCTTAGTCTATGATAGAATAAGTGGAAAATAAGGGGGCGAACTAGTCTGCTGAACACATGGACGTGTTAATTTTTAGGTATAAGGCAAATGTTCAATACAAAATCCATTCCGCTTTTTGCAAAAATTATACGCAATTCTGCTACATAAAAAAAGTCTCCTACCTAACAAGATAAAAATCATGTGATTTACTCTAAATACACAAAAAAAGAATATTTTTCACTTACTTCGGATATGTCTAGTATCCACAAATGTTGCTTGAATGAATGCCCTTGGAGGTCTAGCGGTTCGTCTTGGTCTACCGGTGTCTGCAAAAGTTCTTATTCCAATTGTTGCACAGCATTAATACACTTACCATTTGCAGTACTATCCTCCGAGTAACTTGGCTGTGTCTCTTCAAGTCGAACGAATCCTGAATCAATCACACATAAAAAATATGGAGAAACTGATATACATTTATTTGAAATGTGAAAAAGACAATGTCGTGCAATAATACAGGGTGTACCATAGTGTGTTAAAAAATTGGGTAAGGTAAGAGGATCAGAGCGAACATTTTTTAGCGCATTTCTTGATCTAAACAACAATTTGGTGGTGGAAATGACAGAACAGACAAAAAAATTGACTGTGGCAGTCGTGGTTATTACTTTGGGGCATTATGTATTGTGTGTATGTGTAAAATAAATGAATTACACACGCGCACTGAAATGTTTAGGGAAGAGGCTTCCTAAAAAAATAAATACAGTTCAAAAATCACAAAAAATTATTACGCATGCGTAGATTTACACTTCTTGTTTGTGGCCAATTCTTCTGATATTTCAGCTTATAAAACACTATAAAAGGAAATTGAAATCACGCCCCAACAAAATGGAGTGGGCATGCGCAGATATAACTTTCTTGTTTGTGGTCCACTTTTTCTGAAATATTTACCGACGGTACTTATTATAAAAAGGGAATTGAAAACATATGTCAAAAACTTGTTAAACAGGCACCTGAATTTGTTTTCATTTTTGAGTAGCTTTTGATCTCCCAAAGCTAAGAGCATTAGTTTTGGAAAACCGAAAGCTACTGAAAAACAAAAAAGAATGCAGGATCCTATTTTAAAAAATAAGGTTGATTTGGCATCTAAAACCTGAAACACCGCATCCAAAAAGTAAAATCATTTTCTTATAGAACACAAGAAAGTGCTAGTAAAAAATTGCTTTTTTCAGATACGTTTCTTTTTTCTTTTTTGCAAAATATTCAGCATTAAAATGCCCAACAATCATTATACAATAAATAGATAAATAAAATAAAATAAATTAATTTTAACAATTAACAGTTGTAAAGCTTTTAAGGGCTCATCTATGTGACAGTCATTATGGAAGTCAAAATAGATATTCTGCATCCCACTACAGTGGGTGGCCAGAGCATCCGAACAATGCAGGCAACATGAAGGCAGATGAACTGTTCAATAAGGCCGGAGCTCTTCTGTGGACTGCACAAAACCAACATAAAAGAAGTCCTAAACCAGTGGGAGGAACTGAATAGGATCGATCACTGGCAGAGGATACTAGGACAACAACAGACCAAATTATTCATTAAGGCCACGCTACAGGAAGCTAAAGAAGCCTTAGCCCTCAACAGGAAAAACCTACGGTGCATTACAGGGCTGTGCACACGCCATATACCACGCAAATACCATGTACATAAGATTGGCGGAGGGTGGAGGCCACATGCAGACTTTGTCGACAGGCAGAACGCCTGAACACATTCTATGCAAATGCGAGGCTGCTGCCGGGCAACGGCTAAATGGACTCTGTGGGGACAAGCTAAAACCGTAGGACATAGGATACCTGTGTACCTTAGCTTCTTCAATTGGCCAAAACTACAGGGTGACCATGAGAAGTATTTACATTTTTGATGGGACCCTACTCAGCAAAACGTGGGGGTTGTTTCAGGTTTTTTGTTAAGGCTCTGCTGCAGTGAAAATTATCATTCAAATTTTCGAAAAAAACAAGTCGCATACGATGTGGAGACAATAAGTGATACTGGAAAAAATAAGTAAAAAAATCGAGGAAGCTTCATTCGGCCTTAAAAAATTTTTGTATGCTAAAGTAATCAAATCGTTCTTAGCGCATAACTTTGGATCCAGTAAAGATATTGGGGTCAAAATTTTGGAATAGACTTTACTTAACTAACCACATGCCTCTGTGTCTCCAATTTTATAAAATTTTATCTGCGTTCCTAAAAATCGCTTTGCAAACTTTCGTGTAATTGCAGAATTTATTACCACACAGTAGCAAAGTGAAAAGTGAAACTCGACACGGTAAGGCATAGGCAATTGTAGAGAGAATGTTGGACAATTTTTCCTTTTATTAAATTTTTATAAACAAAGCAGATCTGAGCAAATTAATAAAATCAACACGCCCCTCAAGAAAACCCACCTCTAGTGTTGATAAAAGTATTCAATACAGCCAATCGGGGAATTTTAGCGATAATTTATACCAACACCATTTTATATTTACATTAAAATTATATATTCGTATAACAGCATCAAGTAGTTACTCTTAAATTGTAAATAAACACAATCTCAATTTCTAAAGATATTTTTTTTATTTATATTTACCTACCTCACATTATCAGTATAGATAATGCGGTGTGATTAAATGTATGACTATACCTATGGCACAGATTAAAATCTGCACCTATGGGTACTTTCATCCAACACAAATAAATAGACTTATAGAACAACTCTTTTCCTCATATGTAGTAATTCAACACTGTTGGCATGTAATGTAATCTAACAATTTACAATTGTTGATTAGGCACGTTGTTATAAAACTACGGGCCACCTTTTTTTAGCGCATTTTCGTAAAAATACAAAAATGTCTGGCCACTTTGTTCGCCAGTCTGTCCGTTTGTCTGTCCGCCCGCCCGTCTGTCTGCCCTTACGGCTGTATAGCTACTATATGATTATCTTAAGTTCTACTTTTTAGCGCTAAAAAAGTTATTGTAAAAAAACCAACAAACCGTTTTTTACATGTTCCATAATTTTACACTTTTGCCGTTCATTAACGATCCTTGATATCGTTAAAATTTTGTATTGCTGTCTGTCGTCTGTCTGTTGGTATGTCCGTCTGTTCCTTTGTCTGTCCCTCTATCTGTCCGTGTGAACGATAACTTTGTTTAGAAATGTCCGATCGCTTTTACATCTCCATTAGTTATTACCTGAATTGCATGAAATTCAATATGGGCATAGCTTTAGCCATATAATACGCAATGCCAAAAGTTAAGTCGAATCGATTCAAAATTCACAGTGGCATTTTCGCATCTCGACCATTTATAAACCGAATGGCAAACTTTTTTATTTATAAAAGTATTTGAATGAGGAACAATCGCATGTATGGTGCATGCCATTCATCATGCCTAAATTTTTTTTTTTCGTAAACCATCACAGATAGCGATATTCATCAAGAGGCAAAAAATGCTTGCAAGAAAACTGTCTTATCAGTGTCTAAAAATTCAGAACCGTCAAAATAGTAGTTAAAAAGTTTTAGACCTCTTCAGATGTGGATGGTCAGTATTTTACCACCTACATAGCAACTACAATCAAAACGATGATATCACAAAGACCCTTTCTACATTAGACATTCACATCCCGAATTTCATTTTAATCGGCAAAACCATTTTCCGATCAAATAAAAATAACGATTTTTTTTTTAAATCTTTGGCGGTAGATAGCGCCTTACCGAAGCACTTTTGGATAGAGGTAAGTTGGGTTAAATCGTCCTATTTTGATACCAAGAACCCATGGTAGCGCGTTGTACAGACCTTTTAGGGACACCCTGTATAGGCCCTTGGAACGAAGGAAAATCTAACATTAGTTTCAAAATTTAGGTTTGCGCATGCGCAGTTCTAACTTTTTTATTTAGAAAAGCATTGAAATGAAATTCTTCTTATAAACAGAAATTGAAGTGGCACGTCAAAAATGGATTGCACATGTGCAACGCTATCTTTCATATTATTGTTGCCGGATTTTCACGATTTTAACAGAAGTTGCATCTTACAAATTGGAAATGCGCTTTATGTAAATCGTTTATGATTACTTTTTAACTTGTTCGATATTTGGGTCGTTATGATGTCGAGACTTGCACCAAGGAAGGAATGTTTCTACGTTTATTACTAAAAAGTCATAATAAAATATCAATTTTTTTCATGTAGGTACCATAATTTTACACTTTTACCATTTATTGTAGGTACATAATATAAATTCCATATTCTAAGGCTACCAAATGTTTAGAAAATGAAATTGAAATGACGTGACGTGTCAAAGAATAAATTGTGCATGTGCAACGCTAACTTTCTTATTTGTGGACGAATTTTTCTGAAATTTTAAAAGATCTATATATTGTTCCTTATTTATTTATGTCCAAAAATTTTATATATTTGCATGTCCATGTTTATAGATTTTAATGTGTGTTTTTACTTTTTATAATTTGTAACCATTTGACACATTTTTGCGTACGTGTTGCTATAATGTGTATACAGGGTGGAGACTTGCGTAACGCATCATAGGGATTTTAATGTATAATTCATAACATGCGATTATTGGCTCCCCAAATTATTTTAGAGCAAAAATGTATTAAAGTTTTTTGTAGAAAAAAATTTTTTACGCCAAACGCCGTATTAGTTTTCAATTTTTTTCATATAAAGACGGAAAATTGGGAAAATAAAACCCGCATCTTTTTCAATAATCTGCGATGCCATGGAATTTTCTAAAACAAAAAGATATCCAGTTATCAATTATAGTAGCAGTTCGAAATGGATTTTATGATCGACTTGGTTACTGTCTTGCAGTTAATGGTGACTTATTCGAACGTTTATTGTAAATTGTTATATTAGAAAACCGTTTTTAGTAATTTGGCCTTTCTTTATGTTGAATTCGCTGTTTTAAATATAATACTTTTTGATAGAATTTGATTTGTTTTATAGCAGACATTCCATGGCATGACGGATATTGGCGTAGTTTTTGTATTATGAAATTCCATGGCATCACAGATTATTGAAAAAGGTAGGGGTTTTATTTTTCCAATTTTCCGTCTTTATTATGCAAAAAATTGAAAACTAATACGGTTGATTGACGTAAAAAATTGTTTCTACAAAAAACCTTAATACATTTTTGCTCTAAAATAATTTGGGGAGCCAATAATTGCATGTTATGAATTTGACATTGAAATCCCTATGATGCGCTAGCCAAGTCACCACCCTGTATACATAGTGCACTTTTTGAGAATTAGCAAAATGTGCTATTGTTTGCGTTTTGTCCGTCCGTCCGTCCGGACCCACTTTTACCGTTTTGAACTACTTCTAGGGGAATGGTCCTAGAGTCCTGGAATTTTTTGCAGTAGGTAGCCTATACCTTGAAGGTGTGTCAGACGACCATCAAATTTCGCTGTTTCACTCTGTTGTGACGTTACGAAACGTCCATGTAATGTGCCTTTCTTACTGGATAGTTTTATCCTTCATGGCACTCTAATGAATGGTCTCAACGAAAGGAATTAATTTCTACCAACCATAGCCCTCCTCGACTTCTTACCGTGATATCGGATTGTCGGAAGAGGGTACTCACAAAGGGCGATTGAGATGTCTGCAAGAAATATATCCATTGGTGATGTCAAAACAAAAGCTATTTCGGTTAAAAAAATGTGCTTTATCTGCACAAGAGTTGTGCACAATTTACACTTGTTTTCATTATTTGCAATTTAGATTGGATTTTTTTGTAGTAGGACATTCCTGTCCTTTGTTGTTCTGGGTGCATTTTGTTTCAAAATGTGGGCGGATTTTCCCGAAACTAAAAAATCAATTGGGTTACCTGTGCTATTTTTTTCGCAAAAAAGACTGCTAACGTGGAAATGCGTCTTTTATTGTAGACGATTCTGATAATAAAGTGGAGTTGTACCTGCGCATTGTTATTACATAAAATTCATTAGCCTATCAAGAAACTTGCACCACGCAACGAATACCTTCTTTAGTTACTGAATGTGCAATCATTTATTGTTTTTTATCGGTTACTTCTTGTGCAATTAGGTAGTCATTTCCAATAATTTGGGTTTGATGAGAAATTTAACCGTAAAAAGGTAAGATAAGGAGCTTCATATGTTCTAACAAGTATTATTTAAAAAAACCTTTTTGTTGGAGGTATGTGCAGTTTTGGAGCTACGACTTTTTGATCTGGTCTCCTACGTGCCTGAAAAACGGTCACAACCTTTCTTTTATCCTCAGGAACATAACCAATTTTCAAAGCGGGTGGACGTTTCTAAACAAAGTTATCGCGCACACAGACAGACGAACAGACAGGCAGCAATATAAAATTATAAATTATAAACGATCGCGACGATAGTTAATCTAACACGATGACGGAATCTAAGACATTATGTAAAATTGCCGTAATTAGCAGATATCATTTATAGCGAAAAATTGGTTTATTTTCATATGGATAGCAAATGTTATCTTTATAGCAATGCCACTAAATACACAATATGCTTTTTTCGCTTCTTTAATATTTGTGCGTTACGCAATACACATCCAATAATTAATTTCGTTCAAGTAACGTAAGAATTTACATAAGTATAAAATATAAGTGTGGCCAAACTAAAAGCTAACCGAGGAAATTTTATTTCGAATAGAATACGAGGAGATAAGATTAGCAGAGAATTGTAACGTTGAAATATCTGTGCAGTAAAATATCTGCCTTTGAGAGTGGGACAAATGGGTGGAGCTATAATTATTCGTATCTATATTTTAAAAGTAGCGACATCTGAGCGGACTCACTTGTCATAACTGGCGTATGCAGAACCTGAATAAATGATTACTATTGTGCAAGACCGCAAAAGGATCATAGTAAAAAATGTTTAATTGGCATACCTATCTTTGATTGAGAGCAAAATTCAAAACTAAAATGTGTCAATTGACCCTAATTGATAGATGGCAATTAAATTTTGCTACTTCATTACTGAATGACAATTATTACAAATGAGCAAAAAAAACAGTTATCATATTTACCTGATTTGCGGGTACGTATATACTGCTTTAGCACAATGTGCTCATTTGTTGTCTTTCTTTGTGTGGAATTCCTATTGTTACGTTTAGAATTGTTGGTTATAGGCGTGTCTTCAGATGTATCATTTGGCGGTGGTTTCTTAGCGTTTGTCTTTCTTCGAGTGTTTGGCTTCTTATTTGTTTTACTTGGAACTTTTGTCCCTTTTGTGGGTATCACAAACTCAGCTGGATTGTGATTAACTTGTGAACCGTTTGTGTTATGTCCTGATTCACTAGGTTGGGTGGTAATTGAACATGTCCTCTTTTTCATATTTCTGGTTTGCACGTTGGTACCTGTGGGTAGGCTTTGCACATGTTGCTCTTTGACACATTCAATATCTTCTACATCAGGTGCGCCGTTATCAATAAGATCTTTTACAATATCACATCTTTCCCTTAATGCTCGAGACAGTGACCCAGTTGCGGAAACATTAATTTGATCTATTGTCAGATCATCATCCTTTACATCAATGATTTCCTGTTTATCATTTATTGCGGCACTGTAAATTGTGTTTTCCGTTTGAGGTACACAATGATTTTGTTCTTCATAATTTGTTGCACAAGCTGATCTTTCCGGTATCGTTTCTGTAAAATAGCTTTGTCTACTTATTTCAAAGTTCTGTACGCTTCCACCACCTTTCTCTCTGACAATATCAACTTCCTTAGATTCTTGACATTTGTTGCGTGACAATTTGACGCATTCCACTCTGCAGTCCGTCAAGTGAATCACAGAATTCTGATTGTTTTCTAAACTACTGGCACTATCTGCTGTTTTGTTCTTAGTACTGCTATTTTCTCTGTCCACCAGATTGTACTTTTCAGAGTTGATTTTTGTGTCTTGATCTTGGGTATTATTACCCTGTTTAACTTCTTTTTTCCTCTTTGTATTGTTAGTTTTACTATTTTTTCTATCTTCCACCACGCTTTCAGAGAGATTCTCAGGGATAGCTCTGAGAGTATGTTCTGTACTAACACTGGAACATTCACTCAATAACCGAGAAGCCTGTCTCGTACGCATTCGATTGCAATTAACAAAACTGGTTGGATTCAAATGAAAACCTTCTAAGGTACGTTGTTTATTTTCAGGTTCACTACTAACACTCGAACAATCACTCAACAGCCGAGAAGTCAGTCTCGAATGCAGTCGGTTGCAATTAATAAAACTAGATGGGTTTAAATGGGAACCTTCTAAAGTGTGGTGACGGCTTTCACTCGGTGAACTTACTTTCATTTCCGAATCTGAATTAGCAATGTTGCTACCAGGTGCACCTTTCTTTTTTTTCGTTGTACGCCGCTTTTTTTGTTCTATGCAAATTTCTGGAATCTGAGGTGTCCTACTTCTACTTCTTAACACTCTGTCATTAGTTGGCATATTTGACAAAGTAGATCGATTTTCTTCAATTAAACACTCTGAGATCTTGGGCACTTCCTTTTCTTTTACAACGCCACAGTGATCATTAACACTTCTTTTATCACCCATTGTATTTTCTTTAACTTCCCAATTATCTTTTTGTGGATACTTAAATATTTCTTTACCATTCTCAACCTTGTCGCTGCCTGTAGATATTGGAGAAGCTGGAGAATACGACAGACGATCAATGTTGGACACAATTTTAGAAATAGAATTATTAATTTTAAATGGAGACCGAGGCGACTGTATGCTTTGTATTCTTTCACTGAAAGAATTTCTAAGCACGTCAGTGTTTCCAATCAATTTGTCTTTAAGCAAATTGATCGGATTGGAGATACATTTTTCTTCGGTCTTCCCATCTGCCCAACAGGAATTCGAGGTTTGAGTTTCCCTCTCTTCATAGTAGGTTGGAGTACAATTTCCTGGGCCTGTATTAATTGCTTTATTCGTTCGTTTGTGTACCTTTGTACCAATTCTTTTACCTTTTCTCTTTTTTAGTTTGATATTTTTAAGGGACATCCGATGTCTTGGGGCCACCTTTACAGAGCAATTGTTATTGTTTATATTTGTTGATTTGCGTCCATTAATGTGAATAATGCTGTCTCGTCGTAGAGCGACAGGTGACAACCCGCAGGTAAAACCTGAAGTGCAGTATGCTTCGTCCACCCTCGGCGTACTTGTTACTAGGGACAGTTTTGCCTGCATTAAGTAATCATGTAGTTTCTTGGTTCTTTTTGGACTTCCTGCCGTAAAAAGTCGTTTACGCTTGTTGAGTGAACTTGGCATAGGGACCTGTAAGGAGCAAACTATTTTAAAATAATACTATAAACAGTTAGGTGGAGTTATTTTCAAAAAATCATAATTGTCGGATAGTAAAGTACAAACAACAAACGGCCTTTAAACGTGTCTGGACGTAAGGCTGTCCAGATGCAGATTGGCAACTATCAGCTAACACTACCCGGAGGCCTACTTCATTAACTCAACTAATTTAAACCATTGTTTATCCATTTGCATTACAATGTTTAAACTGTTGTGAGTTAACCATTAAATTGAAATATTTTTGTATCAGTAACTATACTCTATTCATTTTAAGAAGATAGCAGTAGAAAGCATAGGGAAGCTTTGACTTTCACTGTGATTGGTTAAAACACTAGTCAGTAAATGAGTAAGTAATTTGAATGCTTTAAACGCTGCGTAGCGAGAAAACAGCTAAGCTAAATCAGACTATACAGTAAAGTTTTCTTTTCTTCCTCTGTAAAGGTACCTATTCACGTTCAGTCGGCCGGCCGGCTATGGCCGGAAAGGCCGTGGCCGGCAGGCCATTTTTCACTACACACACACAGTTAACTGACAGGCAGCTGCCTGCCGGCGGCCTGTTGACTGTTAAAACTTAACGTGTGTAGTGGTTGGCCGGCCGGCATTGGACTGAAGGGAAAATTTTAGTCCAGACTAAAATTATTTACTAATAATACCATTAATAAGCAGGCCGAGGTAGGCGAAGTATTTAAGTGGTGCGACATAGTAGCAAAAAGTGTGATTTCAGTGATTTTAGTGGTGGATAGTGCTGTGTATTAGTTAACCCCATAAAGTGTAACAGTATTGAGTGATTCGACGACGTTGAAAAAATGGCAAACCAACCAAGTTTCATCAAAGATTTTATTGAATTATACCAAAAGCATAAATGTTTGTGGAAAATAAAGGACTCCAGTTATGCTAACAAAGCTTTACGAGCAAAAGCTTATCAAGAATTGCTTGAGTTGTATAAAACAGTTGATAGTGAAGCCACGGTAGAATCTGTGAAAAATAAGATTAATAACATGAGAAGTGCATTTAGAAAAGAACTTAAAAAAGTGAAGATGTCAAAGAGAAGCGGTTCTTCGGCCGACGAAATATACACGCCCTCCCTTTGGTACTATGACCTACTTTTATTTACGACAGATCAAGAAGAATGTAGGGAAACACTGTCTTCCTGCGTAGATATACAAGACGAGTCTGAAAAAACAGGAGGAGATAATGAATAAAATGAAGTAAGTATACTTTTTAAGTATTTATTTTAATTTCTTAAAATCACCTTAGAATCGTTAAATTTAAAAAAAAACAGAAAAAAACGATAAAACAGGAGAATTCTAAAGAAAATTATCTTGCCAAGCTACTTTTCCGATTGTCATAAAATATTTTTTATAATTTTCGCGATTTTGTTTTACATTTTCTGCTACATTTCTGAGGTAGCCAAGTTGTAGTCCATGTAATTGTTGGTTTCCACTTTGCCTCCATTCACCTGGTACTATTTCTCCGGTATGTAACATTTCCTGATCGAACGAATTCGAAGACGTATATGATGTTTTTGCATGCTTGCTAAGAAAATTGTGCAATACGCAAGCAGCTAATACTACAAAATCTACTTTATTGGGATCCATATTTATCGCTGTGTGAAAAACTCTAAAACGATTGGCAAGCACTCCAAATGCATTTTCTACTACTCGTCTGGCTCTGCTAAGTCGGTAATTGAAAATTCGCTGTTCTGGAGACAAATTCTTCTGAGGATATGGTTTTAATATGTTTTCATGCAAGGCAAATGCCTCGTCGGCCACAAAAACAAAATTTAAATTCTCAGTTGTATCATGTGTAGATGGCAATTTTAGCGTTTTGTTGATTAATTTGTCATGAAAGTCAGTAGACTCAAATACACCTCCGTCTGAGACTCTACCATTGCAGCCTACATTCACGTAAACAAATTCATAATTAGCGTTGACAAGTGCCATTAAAACAATACTAAAGTATTCTTTATAGTTAAAAAAATAGGAGCCACTATTTTTTGGTTTAACTATTCGAATGTGCTTTCCATCGAATGCTCCCCCACAGTTAGGAAAGTTCCATCTGTTCTGAAAATCATTTGCTATTTCTTGCCATTCTTCGCAATTTTGTGGAAACTAAAAAGAATATTTAATTGAAAAAGGTTAAATGATTAAACTAAACTTAATAAATATAATTGCATGTTTAATAATAAGTCAATTTTGCCTGTTATAATATTCTTTTCTTTTAGTTGGAATCCGAATTAAGCAGTACAGAAGCTTCAAATCCATTCTCACCAACAACAATATCGGAGACAACATGTTTATCCAGAACACCCACACCGACAAGGAAAAAAGCGAAACAAACCAAACATGATCTGATGGTCCAGAAAGCATATGAAGTTTTAAGTAGAGGTGATAATGAGTTCAAAACTGTTGGAGCAAATGTTGCATGGAAACTTCAACGAATGGAAAAAAATCAGCGCGATATTGCTGAACATTTGATAAATACTATTTTACATTATGGAATTACTAACAAACTAAGCGACAATGTAACTATAAATTTATATCCATCAAATAGATTTACTAATAATGCAGCATATAATATGTACAGCCAAGATTCGAGTCATTTGCAGGCACAGCATAGTCAGTCACAATTATATCCAGATATTACTTTTGTAACACCACCTACTCAGTCCCAAATACAGTCTTGTACTCAGTCATCACGGCCACAACATTATACGCAGCAACTATACTCTGTTTTTAAACTAAGAGGAGTAAATTGAAAAGTCTGATTTACATCCGAAAAAGTTACTAAATTTAGTAACTTTTGGGCAATTGTTTTAAGTATCATACATACGTACACATGTGCATTATGGGTTGCCTACTACATAAGGCATACATTATAAAAAAATGCAGTGTTGATCATTTTTATGGCTTTTTAATACACTTTACCCTACACAATTTGGTTGACAAGAAATTTTAATTATTATGTAGACATAAATGCAATCATTTTATAAAATCAAAAGGTGCTAGCTACAATATATTGTAAAGTTACAGCATTTTCAGGAATTTTCACTAAGAAAGATGCAAACCATTCTTCAAACATTTCCGCATTCATTTCTTCGTGATAATGGATGTTTTTCTTCCTTCAAAAAGTAGTAGACCCTCGTTTACGAAACTGTTTTCAGAGCCAACATGTAAAATAATGAGACGTTTCCCTTTTCCAGAAGGATTTTTTAAACCGGTAGACAATCCTTCCTCAAACGCTTGTCGTCGAGTACGAACGTTATCATCAGTCCACACTGTTTTGTAGGGCCTTCATTTAACCATGTTTCATCTAAGTAATATATGACTCGTCCTTGGTTCCTATATTGTTTAATAGATTTTAAATGCTTTCGTCTCCATCTTATTATGTTGTCACGTTCAAGTAGATGAAGGACACATTTGTGATAAATCTTCACGACTATTGATTTTGTCCAACGTGGGAAGTTCATTGAGGTAGAAAAAGTTGTGAATAATTTGACGAACTGATGATTTTATGCTTTCATCAAATTGCGATACCAAAGGTGGGCGACCCCCAGAACGTTTAGAAGGAGTTACAGCTCCCGTTTTCTTATACTCCTTTATTGTTCGGTAAACCGTGGATTTTGCAATTCCTATATAAAAAAGTGTGTACCTGCGCCTTCCTCAATTTTTGCAACAATGGTAACCATCTTTGTGCCAGGGTCATCATTTAACATCTGTTTATATCGAGTATGAACTGCTTTTCTGAGATCGATAAATGCCCCAAATTAAGACGCGTACGCTTTTTTACTGGTGAAATGTTTGCTTTACTAAGTACTTGGCGTGGAATCCATTTTTCGAAGTATTTGCACCAACAAAATCAAGTACAGGTACCCGGTTTAGTTCTAATAAGAACTGACTGTTTAATTGAAATTTGAACAAGAGTTAAAACACACGAAAAAGGCAAAATTAAATAAAATACGAATAACACAATGTAAATGACACAGGGAATAAAGATAAGATGTCAACTGAATTGTCAAGATCCTCAAATTGCGTCTGTGTAAAAACGGCACCGTATAAGCCAATCACAATGCAGATTTTTCGCGGGAGCTATTTAAATCACTCCTCTTAGTTTAAAAACGGACTATAGGATCAGCATATCAACCGAAAATACCAGTCCAAACTACTTCATATCTACAGTCATTCACTCCAATTACGCAAATAGACTCTTGTAATCGACCACAACTATGTTATGAACCACAATCACCGGACCAATCACAACCACAACATTATACTAACAATAATTCACACTCTCAAACACAGCCACGCGCTTCATCACAAATAGAGTCGCAGTCCCAGCTTACTCATTCAGAAACTCAATCAAAGCAACATATAAATGAAAATGATAGGAGCTTCTCTATGGATACTTATGTACGTCTACAGAAAAAAACATTTTCTGACTTATAATAAATTTAATCTACATATTTTTTTAGAAATTAGTTTATGTTTGTTTGTTAATTTTGAAATAAAATATATAAATATGTATTATGTGTTTACCTTTAAGTATTCCTCCTTCAAAACCAAATATATATATTTGCACGTTTCAGGAATAATTTTGCCCAGAGCTTGTGGTGAAATAATAGCGCTGAATTTTAAATCTTCCATACTGCGTCCTGTTGCCAAATATCTTAGAGTCACTAGAAATCGTTCTTCTGCGCTAATTGCTTGCCGCATTACGGTGTCCTTTTTTGTAATATACGGCTTTAATAAGTTTAATAAATAGTCAAAACAATTATCATCCATCCTTAGAAAATTTTTTAAATCACTTGCACTTGATTGTCGAAGTTCTCGTACAAGTTCAACGTGAGATAAAGCGCTACGTTTTTTTAACCACTCTTTCATCCAAATAGCTTTTCTTTTTCTTTTTTGCTGATGTGAGATTAAAACAATTGCACCTGCAGCGTACTCTTGGGACATGATTGAACTGACGGCGTAGAACTGCGCGTGTGTAGTTAAATACTTAAACCTCTGAGGCCGTTATCGAAACCGATCAAAAACTGTCGTCCAAAATCGCTAATAAAAACTGAACGTGTAGTTTAAGGTTCGATAACGGCCGGCCGGCCGGACGAACAGTCCATGGCCGGCCGGCCGACTGAACGTGAATAGGTACCTTTACTCCTATCAAAGATCATACTGCGCATATTTAGACTATTTGCAACTTTTAACTTCTCTGAGATATGATGCACCAATGAGGCAATGACGAAACTCCATAGATCCACCTTATATGTTATGTACTAATCACTAATCAGTAATCTCTGGATCCTTGCAATGTCTTAACTATTATATTATGTGGTCCATATATGACGTCACGAAAGCTGCTCTGAGTGTTGCATATGCCTGTAGTTGTCTAGGAAATTTAATACCTGAATATAAAAACCGAGGGGGAAACCACTCTTTCAATTTGGTGTACATGAATTTTTCATTCCAGTTTCATTCCATTTTCAATCTTTCAATATTATCATTATCAGTTTCATTACTTTCAATCTGTTCATTCTCTTTTCATTCTATTAATTCTCTTCATTTATTTTTCATTTCATTTCCTCATTTTTTCTTATTACGGTTATAAATATTTTTCATTAACGGTTTCATTATTTACAAAAACGAATAGTTCATTTTCAATTCTTACGATTTCATTCTTTCATTATTATTTCAATCTTTCATTACACACTTCAATCCTCTCATTATTTCCATTTTCAATCTGGTGTACAAATTTTAAGGAAGTGGTTTCCCCCGAGGGGGAAACCACTCTTTCAATTTGGTGTACATGAATTTTTCATTCCAGTTTCATTCCATTTTCAATCTTTCAATATTATCATTATCAATTTCATTACTTTCAATCTGTTCATTCTCTTTTCATTCTATTAATTCTAAGATTAATTCTTTTTCATTCTATTAATTCTCTTCATTTATTTTTCATTTCCTCATTTTTTCTTATTACGGTTATAAATATTTTTCATTAACGGTTTCATTATTTACAAAAACGAATAGTTCATATTCAATTCTTACGATTTCATTCTTTCATTATTATTTCAATCTTTCATTACACACTTCAATCCTCTCATTATTTCCATTTTCAATCTGGTGTACAAATTTTAAGGAAGTGGTTTCCCCCTCGATAAAAACATAGGAAAACAACAAACATGTAAATAAGATACATTTTCAATGAACTGTTATCTTAACACTCGAATTCCTGTGATCAAATACAACTTAGGAGGACTAAATGAAAATTACTTAATTGCGTTTTGTACGATCATGATAACTCAAACTTTGAATAAACAGTCTCAGCCTTCAAGTGGAGGTATCAATACGCTCGATTAAAACACAATTTGTGCATCCTCACTTGCGTACAATAAATTTTCTGTTCAGGCGAGGCTTATTAACCTCCATGTCTGACTTAAACCAGACACTTGCTGCATTACGTACTGATGTTTTAAAGTCACTTACATTAGGTATTCTCTGCATATCCTTATAGAGTTCATAACTGTTGTAATTGCTACTACTGGAAGAACTAGAATCCGAGTCCCCTTTGATGGGAAGGAAGCTTGGTGAATTGTATAAATCGCTACAATAAACATATCAGTGAATTGATCATTACAGAAGATTGCTTACTATTGTGCCATTGTGGATATAACTCTCTAACAGTCTATAACTTGTACATAAATATAAAATCTACACAAATTAAAATGGGCACATAGTTTAAAACTTCACTCAAAAACACATTTAATAACTAACCGTCATTCTACAGTGGTACTAACATAGCAACATTAATGGATAAGCTTTAATCGACTCTATCGTTATAATAACTTAATTATTGTACTTATATCCGAGTTTGTTTCTCTAAGTATATCAACAAATTAAAAATTCTTATTTGCACTCATTAAAATCCTCAAATTTAAACGAAATTATGGTTACAAAATTCAAGCTCTCATGTTGGCAACAAGCTAAATATGAAATTTAGTTACTTATACAGCAGGTTTCAAATATCTTGACCACAAAACTTTTGAAACTTGATTAATCAATGCCTATGCCTTTATTCTGAATAAATAATAATAATAATAATAAGTCGTCTCCACGCTTGAGGATTGCACTTGCATCTTGGCTACGTTAAAGAGTAAGTATTCTTTGGGATTCCCCCACATATGTACTCAGACGAGTAGAAGACCCAAGACACACACAAAGAACTTGCTTCCTCGCAAGTCTCAAGGGGTGACGGCCAATCCAGTTAATGTCATTTTATTACTGTGAGTATATCGCGTTTATATGTGGATCACATTTGAATGTACGATCATCGACAAAAATAATGATAAAATGAAGTCTACTGCCGCTTAGACAACCAACCATACACTATCTTCTATAGCAACATTGAAAGGTAAGTTTTCTCGCGTATACAAAATGCTCGCGGGGAATCGTGTGGGATGGGCCCATTGAGATATCTATTATCTCAATGGATGGGCCGCACGGCGTCGCGCATTGTCTTTGTTTCGGCATTTCTTCATCACTGCCTGGAATCTTGATATAAACGTCAATTAATTAATCGCCTAGGTATGGCAAAGAAAGCAAACGAATTCTCATTTGTGGACGTATAGAAGATAATCAAGAATATTTAAAGCTTCCGGTACTACGCGGTTACCATAAAAACTACTCCTTACGCGATCTGAGTGGTGTTCATACTTTAGTTTACCGTGACCACATATTTTGTATTGAAAGCATATAATGATTGGGTAATAGCAGTCCAGGTATCATATGGTCTTAAGTTCTTTCCTCTGTCCAACACCTCATTTTTATTGACGTGTTTCCAGCGTCTTTGTTCAGCTTAGATTTGAAGCAACCTTCTCTCTAGATCACTGTTTCTTCCAACTGGCCAGCTTTGGAGTTGAGTGAACGTTACATGGTGATATTGAGAACATGGAATACACATTTTTTTGTTACTTCCATTCACCATAGCCCAGCATCAGCTCTAAGGATAGTAATTCACAGCTATAAGAAAAAGTTTGTTTATTCATCTTTACAATACAATATGGAAAAGTTAAAGCTATGTATATCAATAAGCAACACGAAACAAGACCTTGTACTCGTGTTGGAAGAATTGCCTAAAGAATAAAGATGAACAAAATTAAATGATTATAAATACAATCGAATTCAAATTTTGAAGTGACTGTTATACAACAAACGCACCTCGGCACGATATTCATAATAAAATAATAATACAGTAACATTTGAAAAAAATATATAAACTCTGGTTCAAACCTGAAATTAATGCTGCTTAATCGATACTCCCTACATTGAAAACTGAATGATGTACAATATAATGTAAATTTCTTCGGCAAACAGTAATAGCATCCTCAATGGACATAAAAAAGTTCATCAGCAAATAAAATTTGTGCTTTCCATTGGTTAACGGAAATTAAAAAGATTATATAAAATGAGCTAAAACTTTAATGTGTGAAATAAAGCCCACGAAGAAAACCAACATGAGAACTAAGTATAATTGGGATTCTTTCCTTGGAAGCGAAACCCCCGGTATGGTTAAACACACAACGATCGTAATATAAAGAATACAAGTATGATAAATATATCGCGTTTGGTTTAGAAAAGAACGCAACGTGGCTTCTTCTTCTTTTTAACTTGAAGTGCGGCTCTTGTCGCAGTCTCAAATACTTCACGAACGCCCTCCTTACTTTTTGCGGAGCATTCTAAGTAGGCGAAGGCGTTAATTTTTTCCGCCATCGCTCGTCCCTCTTGGGGTTTGACGGGTTCTTGTTTCATTTTGGCAAGGTCTTTGATGGTATTCGGATCGTTTCGTAAATCTTTCTTGTTACCTACGAGAATAATGGGTACGTTCGGACAAAAGTGCTTAACTTCAGGTGTCCACTTTTCTGGAATATTCTCGAGAGAGTCGGGCGAATCGACTGAAAAGCACATTAGAATTACATCAGTATCAGGATAGGATAACGGTCGCAGTCGGTCGTAATCTTCCTGGCCCGCTGTATCCCAAAGGGCCAACTCGACTTGCTTGCCATCTACTTCAATATCAGCTACATAATTCTCGAAGACGGTTGGGACGTATACTTCAGGAAATTGATCTTTACTAAATACAATGAGAAGACAGGTTTTTCCGCAAGCGCCATCCCCAACAATCACCAACTTCTTGCGGATTGCAGCCATCGCACCTGCCAAAACACAGAAATGCACACCGTCAACGCCTATTGACTAACTAAAGATGGCGGAGACCGTCTCATTTTATTATCAGAGGCGGAGAACCGCTTCGAGTAAAAATAAACAACCCACCTTTTCCCGATTCTTCACCGTCAGATAAACAGCACCACATCCAGTTTACACTTCCAGAATTCTAATTATTTTTCTCCGTTTGTAATTTCCGTATCAATCAGCAATTTCGGTTCATATAAACAAAAGTACAAAAATTACCAAGTCGTTACAGTAAAACCCTTCTTACAAGTTACAATGCGCCGGCGTGAGTCATACTTTTGAAGTGTGGACATTATACCGTACAGTTAGCGCACCGTCCTTATTTTTGCCTTAACATCAATGAGGAGAAGAGAGATAATCGCGGAGAAAAAATACTACGTGACATCACTCTTCTGAGATCCGGGAGTCGTGATTTCACCGTTTGGTAACAGCTGAAGGAATGCAGTTCGGTGGCTCTTGCACCAACATTCTATAATCTATAGGGTGATATTTGCAAAGATCTCAATAATTCAAAATTTAATATTTGGACTATATTTAATGGCGTCAAGCGTCATAGACAATTCTAAATTTAGGTTTGCCTTTTTTGTTTCCTTCTATGTATGTTTGACCTTGATTGAGTACATATACTTTCTATTTTACACTTTATGACTTTACTGTGTAAATTCGCTGCTTACAGGACTCGTTCAGTTTTTTCAGAATGGGGGTTTACAGTGTAGTTGAATTCCGTAGTTCTAATTTAATAAGCGTGTACCTGAAACCATAAAACATTTGTTTGGACAGTAAAAGTTTATTTAAAAATAGAGGCTGATTAGCAAGAAAATAATGAACATGTGCGGTTTTAAAGGTTTATTCAAAACGATATGATTGTGGCGGGCTCTGTGACGTAATAAGCCCGACCAATCAGCTCCTAGAACCATTCAGATAACATAACGACTTGGCAATATTGCAGGAGAATGGCATTTATAACTTGCGTCATCTGTCACAGGCACTTGTCACATTCGTGCTAGATGCAGTTAAACATCCCTCTCAAAACGTCAAATGTGACAAGCGTTCAGACCCTCGCGTAAGGTTGCCAGCTCACTTCTACGCGATTGGCTGTAGGTTTGTGACGTATTTAGTCTGAAGCGTTTCAAATTCGGACTAAAAACACAGCTTTTCAATAATTTTGTTTGGGTTTATTTTACTCGCAAAGAAAAATTGAGGACACACGGGTCTTTTTATTTTTAATGTACTTTGTGGATCAGAAATAAAAAATGAAGGCGGGATGACCCCATTCTTTCCTTTCTTCTATTTTGCCTAGTTCTTCAGATTTTTCTGTTTCTTTGCACTTTTAGGTGCTTTCTGATTCTTCGAATCGGCAGTTTCTTTCTAAGAAGCATCAGATGGATTAGGTTCCTCAATTTTTTAATTCTGCAAGTTCTACAAATTCTTGTTTCTTGAGATGTTTCAGATTCTTTCGATTGCTTCATTTTTTCCACATATTCTTAACATTTTTCAAATTATTTAGGTCTCTCAAATTATTGGGTTCTTGAGGTTCTCCAAAGTCACCCGTAATTTAGAATTCTTTTGATTCTTCCAATTTTTCAAATTCCTCAGCATTATAAAAATGTTGGGATCCCTCAGTTCTTCAAAATTTTTAGATATTATTTTAATTTTTCAGTTCCATAAGATTCTTAGATCCCTTAAGTTTTTCGGACTCGTACCTTTTTGCAGATGTATAAGATTTTTTCCTTTGTTCAATTTTACCAGTGTGTTTGCGTGCTCTCAAAGGTATAAGATCCTGATTTTTAATTTTTTTATCCATAAGAATCTAAGATTCCTTAATTCGAGTTTGATTTACAAGTTTTTAAGATTCTTTTATTGCTTTTGCAAATATATCCCTTTGAATTCTTCTGATTATTAAGATTTTTTGGGATACACAAAATATAAGATTTTTAAGACACCTTGAATTCTTCCAATTTTCTTTATTATGCGATTTTCAGAAATGTAAATTTTCACATTTTTCAGATACTTTGAATTTTTTTGTTACTTTCATCTTTTTGGATCCCTAGTTTTTTTTTAATTCTTCAAATCCTTGTTGAATTTCAGTTTCTTCAAATTCATTTGATGCTTTAGATTTTTCGGATTATTCAAATTCTTCCACGCTAAAGATCTTTCAGACTCTTTTATTTTTTCTGGTTCTCCGAGCGTGTCGAATACTTTATTGATTGTTTATTGCAACTCATTCTCTTATTGGCATTTTTAAAATCCGTCATTATCTCCAGATTCTTCAAATTCTTCGAATTTTAGGACTTTTCAGATTCGTTTAACTTTTCGAATTCTTCCGATTCTGCAAATTTTTTATATTTCAGATTCTTCCGCTTCATTATGGTCCGGTATTATCTTGAATCCTCCCAGCCGTTTAGTTTCAGAGTCTTGGGACTGTTCGAATTTTTCCCATTCGTTCACACGGATCTACAGTTTATTGAGATTCTACGCCCTTTTTTGAATTCTCAGAATGCCCCAATTATTTTATATTAGATTTTAAATTAGGAAGTAATTTAGATCTCGAGATTTCAAAATTGTTATTTATCAATTATTTCGTTGAGAAAATGTCACAAGAATTATAGAAACGGTTTTCCTTATTTATTAGGTACTTTAGAATGGCATAGATGGCATAGAATCCTATCCTTGTTGGAAAAAAATTATTGTGGGTCTGAATAAGCTAGAAAGAAAGTCAATAAGATTCAAATGACGCATGAATGGTATCACCGCTTTTAGTTTTTGTGAATTCTATCTCACTTCACACTCACATAAGCTTATTGGGTTGCTTTCTAGCTTATTATTATTATTGTCAAACCAGCAATCATTTTTTCCATACCTGTATATAAGCTCAATGTATGATTTGATGGTATAATATCCACGTCTTTCTAATTGTTTTGATTTAAAAGGTTTGTGATTCCATATAACCCTAAATATAAAACCTTCAAAGTTTAGCTTAAGTTTCAAGTACTTTTTTTAAAATTTCAGTAAAAATGGCAAGCATGGTGCATTGTCAGTTGTGGATGGGCAGTGTAAGTATAAACACATATTTGTATACGCAGTGTTCACTAATAATTATAGCTGGAACCATATATGACTGAAACATTCATTAGCACAGCATTTAGAAAAATGGGCGAAAATCCACTAAATGTCAAAGTGATGCGAAATAAATTCACAGGCGAACCAGCTGGCTATTGTTTTGTACATTTTGCCACCGACGAAGAAGCAATTGACGCCATGCATAAATTAAATGGTAAACCGATCTCCGGCACAAATCCTGTTGTCAGATTTCGTCTGAACAATGCCAGTAACACAGGCAGAAATTTGGTAGATCGTGAATTTTCAGTGTGGGTTGGAGATCTCAGTCCTGATGTTGATGATTACAACTTGTACAGAATTTTTTCCTCCAAGTATAATACAATAAAGACTGCTAAAGGTATAAATATTAATATTTCGAGAGGAATTGTGTAATTAACCTTATATTTAGTAATTTTAGATAACAGCGGTTTTAGTAAAGGTTACGGATTTGTAAGGTTTGGAAGTGAAGAAGAAATGAAAGATGCGCTTATGAATATGAATGGATTTGTCGGTTTGGGATCAAAGGCACTCAAAATTTGTAACGCCGTTCCAAAGCCCAAAGGTGCCATTACAACAACAGGAAATGGAACAACCCCCACAAATACCCTTTCGACAGCTTCTACTGATTACAGTCAATATTATGATGCAACTTATTGGCAAAATTATGCCAATTGGCAATCGGTAATTTATTTTGAAAGCAATTGAATGTAACATGCCTTCTTGAGGTGCTTAATTAATATCAATAGCAATAGACATTTTTTTAGTGAAGTGTTGAACCGCAAGTACACATTTTTTGTTAAATTTTAAAAAAATGGATACATAGGGAACTACCTCGGGAACTACATAATAAAACATCATTAAAAAATGATGGGAGGTTGAGAAGGTGGGAAATGGGGACGATTTTAATCTCGCATATTTTTTGTGAATTTCAAAAAAGAGACTATCTTTTAGATCCTTAGATAACTATTTTTTTAATTGCACAGAAATAAATGCACCTGATTCAGCGCTTCCCTCAAAGAACTTGTTCATTGGTGTCATCTAGTGATACCTTGACAAAGATTTAAAACATCATAAATAAATAATCTTATTTCCTAGCAAATTGATTAATTCATTTAGGTTTTTTGTCAAAGCTAAATTAAATTATAACTTCAGACTTTTTTTCATCTAGGGCTATTATGATCAAGGAGACGGATCACAGAGTGACGCTTATGCAGACGCAAATGCTCATGGGGAAGGGCGAGAAGAGGACGAACTTGAATTAATTGGTTAGTTATAATTAATCTAAATGTTTCATACATTCTATCTTATTTTGTTATAGAACATTCTTTGCCATTGGATGTAGATAAGGTCAATCGGGAAACAATGGACCAAGACAGTGCTTTATGGGATGCCTTGGAAAGTTCAAAATGGATTCCATGTGACATTGTTGAAACTTATTAGCATTCATAATTTTGTACCTATGTATTGCAGTTTATTATTAATAATTCTCATGAACATTATGTAAAACTGTGCGCTTTCAAATATAGTCACATTGACTCATTTAATTCCAATTATGAAACGATAATGCAAAATCATAACAGTAACAATTGTTTGGCAAGGTTGGTGGCAGAAAAGTAAGGTGTGGTATTTGTCGGATTGAATTGAACAGTTCCTGCTATAAATTTAGTTGATCCTTAATCTCACAAATTACATCCAACAAATTTCATACGAGAGGCATTGTTAACGAAGACACAAGTTGAATCTATACTTGATAGTACAGTATAGGTAGGACCTACCGAAATATGAATCATGTTAGTAAAAGCATGTAAGTACTTACGATAGGCAACTTTACATACTCCGCTTTGTTTGCACTAAATACTGTCATGCTTCACAAACAGGCTATAGATTAAAATTAGACGGAATCATTAATTATACACACTGTATAATCAATTGATGCAATGGCTGTTTTGATGGTACAATATCCACTTCCTTCGAATTGTTTTGTTCTAAAAAAAGCCAAAGGTTTTGGCACAGCTTACTTACTAAGCTGTGGTTTTGGTTTGCTCTGAGGTTTTGTGATTCCAAATAACCTCAAATAAATATAATTCTTCAAAGTTTCATTTAATTTTCAAGTAGTTCTTTAAAAATTTCAGTAAAGTATGGATTGTCAGTTGTGGATGGGCGGTGTAAGTATGACAGGTATTTGTATACACATGGTTCACTAATAATTACTTATAGCTGGAACCATATATGAATGAAACATTCATTAGCACAGCATTTAAAAACACGGGGGCAAATCCAGTAAACGTCAGAGTGATGCCAAATAAATTGACGGGCGAATCCGCTGGATATTCTTTTGTGCAGTTTGCAACCGACAAAGAAGCAATTGACGCCTTGCATAAACTAAATGGTACACCGATCTTCGGCACAAATCCTGTTGTCCGATTTCATCTGAACAATGCCAACAACTTGGTAGATCGGGAATTTTCAGTTTGGGTCGGAGACCTCAGTTCTGATGTCGACAATTACAACTTGTACAAAATTTTTTCCTCCAAATATAACACAGTAAAGGCAGCTAAAGGTATTAATATTAATACTTTGGGAGGAATCTTATAATTTACCTTATGTTTAGTAATTTTAGATAACGGCGGGTTTAGTAAAGGTTACGGATTTGTAACGTTTGGAACCGAGCAAGAAATGAAAGATGCGCTTGTGAATATGGATGGGTTTGTCGGTTTGGGATCAAACACACTTAGAGTTTGTAGTACTATTCCAAAGCCCAAAAGGGCCATTACGACAGGAAATAGAGGAACGGACAAATATACGCCTTCAACTGCTTCCACCGACTACAGTTATGATGAAGCTTATTGGCAATCGGTAATTTAAATTTATTTTGAAAGTAAATCACTGTAACTTGCCTTCTTGGTATAGATGCTTAATTAATGTATCCATATCAAGTTAGCAATAGGTTCCAGTAATACACATTTTTTAGTGAAATGCTGAACCGTACAATTTTTGTTAAATTTCTAAATAATAGATGCCTAGGGAAGGAGACTATGACTACGTTTACACGAAAAACTTACACAGGTTTTAACAATATTGGTTTTGTTAACAACGGTTTCCACTTGCTATTTACACGGACGTAACAGAGTGGTGTTATCAACAACGGTTTCAAGTGTGTGAAGTAAAACTGGTGTTATTAACACCTAACACAAGCGATAACAATTCCATTGGTATTGCCATATTAAAAGAGATGTTAAAGTGTTTACACGTTTTCTAACATAGGTTTTAGTAATGCTACACCTCTGATCCAACAGGTGTAGCTTTACTAAAATCTTTAATAAAATTGGCGTTTACACGCAGGGTTTAATAACAATGGTGTTATTAAAACTTGTGTTATGTGTCCATGTAAATGTAGTTATTACCACTGAATAAGCACTTTACAGTACATAAAACATGAAGTAGGTGTAAGGTGTGTTGCATACATTGTAAAGTGGTTAATTTCCACAAATGTGCAAGGGTATTTGGGTGTGAGCGGTTAATAATGACTATTTTAAACAAGGAACCCTGATATATTTACTGATCCTTTTTCTTTTTTTTTTTGTTTATAACAGTTGAACATTGTTGTCAATGTTTTCTTTGTGGAAGCAAGAGTAATTAGAAATTTGCATTAATTTTTTGAAATGGAATTATTTGGCAACGCTGGATTTTTTTATAGACGTAAAGAAACCTACAAATCAGTAAGTAAGTTTAAATTTGTGATTCACTTTCCCCTACAACAAAGGAGCGATTGAGTCCTGGGCAGCTGTTATGACTTCATCAGTTACTTAACAGGGGAGTTGTACTTCTTTAAAGTGCTTATGCAATGCTATTACTTAATTTCTTAGACAACAATTTTTTTAATTTGACAGAAACAAATGTACCTGATTCAGCGCTTCCCTCAAAAAATGTGTCCATTGGTGTCATCTATTGCTAGTACATCATAAATAAATATCGGTACTTCGTTTAGCTCATGTATAATATTTCCTATTATTATTGAATATTAACACAGTTTACATTTTATCTAGTAATTATATGAAGCAATCAAATTATTGAGAACAGGCACAACAATAATTAACACCCATGTGATATCATTTTTAAGATGCTGAGGTAACTGGCATTCTCTACCTGGTCTTGGTTGTGTCTCAAAATTGCTCTTTTATTAGGTTGCACAACGGGAAGTGCTATTAATTTCTGATAAATGCAGTCACGTTACTACTTCTGTGATTATTGAAATGTTTATTCATTCTCTTAAGTTACTTAATATAGTATTATACATTTTTGATATAATTAAGTTTTATTGTTACATTTTTTGTTTTTGTTGTTAAAAACTAACCATTGAACCATTGAAACCGGACACCTATAAAATTAAAAAATTTTCTACGAAGTTGGAGCGTGGTCACTATGATTGACTCTTATAAAAATTATTCCATTGGCTTCCAGATCACGCAACTCGATTAAAATCACACTTTCCTGCGTGACTCGTTGATTTCATCGTTCATGGTATTCTAATTAAAGGTCTCAAACGAATTGTTTTCTACCAACTTACCCCTTATCAAAATAGGGGTGCGGAGGAGGGGGGCAGAACTGGTATTATCCTTCATAGTACTCTAATGCAAGGTCTCAACAAAAGGAATTCCTTATACTCAAGATCCTCGCCAGTCCGTGTGGTGCAGTTGACTGTGGTACTAAGGGTCCCTGGTTCGAATCCGAGTTCGGGCATGGATATTAAATGTATAGTGGGTGGGGTGGTAGAGCAGCTTGGACGTAAAACCTCGCCCTTCTACTCAAAAATAAAGGCCAAAAAAGAACGGATTGTCAGAGAAGGGCACTCACAAAGGGCGATTCTGACGTCCGGAATTAGTGATATCAAAACTTTAAGAGCGAATATCTCGAAAACGGTTTGTCGGAGGAGAGTACTCCCAAACGCAAAATGAATCGTCTGGACGAGACATATGTATTGGTGACGTCGGAGCGAATATCTTGAAAACGAGGTGTCGGAAGAGGGTACTCATAGTGTCAGTAGAACGTGTGGACGAGACATATGTACCGCTCATGTCAAAACTTCGAGTGCAAATATCAGCGGAACAGTGTTGGATGAGGGTACTTTCAAAGGGCGGAAAGATCGTCTCGGCGAGACACATCTACCGGGGATGCAAATTCTTGGTCGTGAATATCTCAAAAACGTTGGAGCAAGGTATCCACAGAAGGAAAATGCAATATGTCGGAGAATTTCTGTAAGGGCTTGGTCCTTGCATTCTATAACGTAGATTTTCATTGTATGCCAGGCGGCCTTTAAATGTTTATGTATAAAGAGCGCCCTCCCCATTAATCATCTACCATAAGGGTGAACATTGATAAATGTAGCATGCTACTACCTTACAACCCAACCATTTACTCAGCTATTTCGGTTTAAAAAATGCGCTTTATCTGCACAAGAGTTGTACACAATTTACTTATACTTGTTATCGTCACCACTATATTTTCTATTATTATTGAATATTAACACATTTCACGTTTTACTTATTTAGTAATTATATATAGCAAATTCATATTTTACAATTAATAAAAATTATAATATATTATGACTTGATTTTTAAAATTATAACATCATGACATCAGACAAAGGTAAATTAAATTGTAACTTCAGACTTGTGCAAAGTGTATTTTTTTCTATCTAGGGTTATTGCGATCACGGAGACGAATCACAGACGCTTATGCAAGATGCAAATGCTCATGGGAAAAGGTGAGAACGAACTTGAATTAATTGGTTAGTTATAATTAATCTCAATGTTCCATAGAAAATGTATTTTGTAATTGGTCGATATTAATATAGAAAGTGCCCTAAAGAGTAAAATAATTTAAATTTCAATGATTACTTTAGTGGAAGTTCTTTTGTTATTAACACAAAATTAATGATATAGAGAAAATCCAAACTACTAACTATTATCAGGCTCCATTTTATTTACCCCCCTCAATTAGTTTAAATGCAAACAAAATATCATTTAGGAAGATTGAATGTGTTATAAGCTTTAAATATTGTTCTGTAGTGTTAGCTCATCAGTTCGTACTTAAAAACAGAAAGACGTGTTAATTATTGTAGCTACATGTTTTCAAAGTTTAGCTTGATTTTTTTATTTCAGAGTAAGAGAAACAAATCAGAGATAGACGACAGTGAAGAAGAAATTCCTGAAATGTTCATTGACGAAGGACCTCTCGTGATTAATAAAAATCAAGACAAACGAAGAAGAATAGAAATTGAAAGAAATAAGATGTTAAAGGCGTACGACTTACGGACGTCTTCAGTCGAATCTCCTCCCATGGATGATGAGAGTAGCGCATTTGGACAGTTTATTGCAAATAAATTGCGCACCTATTCTGTTAAAACACGGTCCATTGTGCAACATGAAATAAGTAATGTGCTGTTTCAAGCGGACAATGGAGATTATGATTTTAGGCGCAATTTTAATATTGATTACCCATAAGGTACTTGTGCCCTTAGGTTAAGCACTAATTTTTAACATGCGTACATTTCAGTCTTCTGGAATGAATTTACTTATATAGAAACGTAAAATACAGCAACATTGGTATTTGTTCTTGACAGGTTTTCGGTGTAAAGGGGATGGTTTGTCTGAAATACTAAGTTTAAGTGCAAAGTTAAATAGCAGTATACACGTTTTTTTTTTTGGGAACTTTAGTTACACGTTTCTGGGAAAGTGAAATAGGTAGGTTTTTGCAAATTTGTACTTTGCAGTTACTCTGAAGGCTGAATCGATGTAAAATCCAATTCCAAAATCGTGGCACACCGGAAGTAGCTAGTAACTTTGTTATTTTAAACACTCTGTTTAATTGCATTTTTGGATTCTATGTGAAATTTCAGTTTTTTTGATACCCACATATCGATGTCTGTAATGTATGGTTTTTAAGTTTTGAAATATTTTACACCCATTTGGCCAGAGTAACTCCTAAGTGCAAATTTTCAAAAACCTACCTATTTCACTTTCCCAGAAACGTTTAACTAAAGCTACCAAAAAAAACACCCTGTATTGATATTGTGTTCGTTGGCTCAATTAGCAACTTGAATTTCATGATGGGCAAAAATTACAAAGCAGTGTGGTCATAAAAGGTGCGCAAATCTAGTTACATTAAGTATTAACTGTTATGAAAAGAGAAAATGGCATAAAAGGGCTTTATTAAAAGAACTCCAAAATTCTGATTCTCTATAATTCAAAAATATTTCATTCATGTGCTGTTTCGCTTGTACCTTATCCAGGAAATATGCTAAAATGTTTTCTTCTGTTCCTGGCACGGAATTCTTTGATTGCTGCGACGACGGTGTTAGACTACACTTTTTAATTTACAAACTTATATCTTGAAGTTATATAGCTATTACTGAAAATTAAAGTGCATGTAAAAAATAGATGTAATTTTTGTATGTCATTGTGTTATTTCTATTTCTTTGAATGCTCCTGTTGTATAATATAAATGTTATTATCGGAGTTGCTTCTTCTCTGTTTAAACCTAACAGATGGCGTCCTGGAGTGCGTTGGTTATGGTTTTGCCATACGTATTGCGAATGGATGGGTTGTCCATGGTCCAGTTTGTTGTTTTGCTCGTTTGGCGTCCGTCCACGTTTGAGGATGCCGTGTGCATGTGTGTCTTATCAAATGAGACAAAAAGAAACTAGTATCTTGTAGATGGAAAGAAGTGGCCATAATAATGTGTTATTTATTTTGAAATATCTTAAATAACTACGAAAAAATTTCGATTTTTTCAGGATGTCTCCGAAAGTAGGATTTTTTTCAGTTTCAGAACGACATTTTGTAAAGCATCAAAATACGCAACTTACAAATACTTCTTTCAAATGCAATAGTAAGAAAATGGTCATTTCATTAAAATTTTTGGTCATTCAAATTTTTGGACTTCACTTTTTTTTAAGTACACTAAAAGAAAGCCCTATTCTTTCTTTGCGCACTGGTAAAAATGGGTTGCATAAATACAGTCTGCATCCGCCATTTTTTAAAGTCGTAATAACTTAATAAGCTAAATTGTAGATATCGACTAATGGATATTAAAAGAACTGAAATTTCTTAAAAAATCAAAAATGCAATAAAAAATATAGGTTGCCATTTAAAATAACGAAGTTTGACAACACTTAAAGCAATGTAATAACTTATCCTCTTATCAGTTTATATTGGTTCATATAAATAATAAAATAAATATTAAAAAAATTTATTTAACAAGTTTCTAATTTATACAGATTTTACCACTACTCAGTCGGTTTCTCTTGTTCTTCATTTGTAGTTACATTAGCCACATCATCATGACAGATGGTGTAATTGTGTTCCAAAATTTGTTCGCAACTACCTTCATTTTTCTTGGAAGTAAAATTTCTGGCAAAGGTATTGATTACGTCGGATGGGAAATCGATAGGTACTTGAGTGTGTTCCGGGGTAACCATGAATACTTTAAACGTTGTTTCTCCCCTCGGAGTTGGTGTGCATGTGATCATGACAGCGCCGGGCTCCAAGTCTTTCGATTGCTCTGTTACACGCTTGGCGGGTGCTTCGACAGATTTTTGTGGCACACTCCTCTTTTTGTTAGGTATTCGGCCATATCTAGTCTGTTTTAAAATATTCGATACGGTTACTTCACAGGACGAGTCACTAGAACCGTTTTCGTCATCACTATTTGAATTATTCCAGACAGACGCTATTCCCTTTTCAAGTTTGCTGTAAATATCCCCCTTGGGCTTTTCTACCTTTCGTTTACGACCTGGCTGTTCTTTACGTTTGGGACGAGCACGAGAATAAGAAAGGACGTTATTTTTGTTTTCTTGCTGTAATTGTTTCACGCGTTTTTGTTTTTGATCTTCCTCCACCTCCCTTATCTTCTGTTTTAGCAGGGCTTCCTCTTTCAGCTCCTTAATGTTGAACCTTAACGGCTGCGAGAGCGCTTTGTCAATTAAAGTGTGATTGATTCTGTCCTCCTTTTTAAATTTCATTTTTAACTCGCGTCTTGTACGTCCAGGAAACAGCTGCAACATAAGCGAGAAATCCGTCCCTAATGTGTGTAACGCCTTGTAGAAAAACAAAGTTTCTTCATTACTCCAATCTTTCGAACGTCGTACTTTCTTGTACACCCCGTACCCAGTGTCAAAGTCACCGTTGACAAGTTCAGAATTCTTTAAATTTTCACGATCCTTTTTAGTTTGTTTATTTTCAACAATTAAGCTTTTTTCGTCGATAATAATTTCCCCATTTTTGCCTATTTTAATTTGAGGGACGGGAACGCTATTATTATCATCATCACTTTCAACATTCTTGTTGGGTGAATCACAATTGGTAGGGCTATCTACTCTCTCCTCTTCCCTCCTATCGGATTGTTCGCTATTTTTGCTGCAATACAGAAACTAAAGATGCCATAAAGTGCAAACATTAAGGGGGGGTGTCTCACACAGGGATTGAGAAATAATGGGAAATTTTGGAAGGGCGAGAAATTTTTTGGAAATTTTGGTTTTGCCATAGATAAGTTGGTACATCGTTTTCTTCATGTCCGTCATTTATTGCAGAGTTACGAGGACGGCGCCATGATGTAGCGACTTGCTGAGGAAATGTAAATAATGTGAAAAAACGTATATTCAACCTGACAGGTCAGTACTCTTGGAATTTTTGGTACGGCATGGTCACAGGGATGTATCAAGTTGTAATGCTTTTTGTTAGGTTTGCTTCCTAGCTAGGGTGTGAGGAGTGGGGACGAGATGACTCGAGTGACGTCTCTGGGTCCCTCTCCTCCAAACTCAAGATACAGCTGGTACATGCTGCTTTACCTTCATTTTTGGATCATTTCTGATTGTTGGGTAGGAAATTTGAAAATATTTTTACATCGACAAGGTAAATAAAAAATTTTTGCTGTGACTAGCACAGATACCACCCAGGCATGCGCGATTCTGCCCTTTTATGTCTAAGAATATGTGTATCAAATTTGGTTCCAATCATAATGGTAAAAGAATGAAACTAACGATCTTTAGGACTGCAACACAGCGCATTAATGTGAGCTGTAGTCTGAATTTTATTTGTTTGTACACATAACACAATACAGAAGCGAGCAACAACCAAATTGGGTTCTGTTACACTATGGCACCCTCGATCCTTTGCTACCGACAATTAAGGAATCATTCAGACTGGGTAAAGATAGCCAAAAAGATCAAAGTTAGCTTACCTACTTAATTTTCTTTTTTTCATCGTTATTTCTAGACCAGATCTGAGAGTAATAATTCGGACCTTTCATGTTTGAGTTTCTTACATAAATATAAATGTACTACAAATTTCAACAGATGATAAAGGGGGCGGAGTTATCCTTTGGAAAATAGCTTTTGCATGAGCAGTCCGACAATGGCAGGGGAATACGCAAAATGCCTATTTCAAAAACCTTAGGAAATGTTCAGAAATAAAGGACAAGGAGGTAGACATTTCAGGGATGTAAAACACCCCTCGACAAAAAAAAACTTACGTCATTGGTTTTGTGGCAGGATTATAAAATATTAAGTCGTACATTGTTAACTTTTGCTTTTCAGGAGCTTGGTTGCGAAACTTAGTCTGGAAATTACGTTTGGCTTCTGCCATTTTGCTAGATTGTTCGCTACGTTTGCCTTTCTTCTGTACACTAGAACTCGACTCTTTTTGCTGCCCAGCATCCGGTGCATTCTTGGCGGCTGGCTCGCACGTGCCCGATGCGGTGGAGCAAATCTAAAACAGTTCTCAAGTTTAATAGTAAATGCAAATGTGAACTTACAGAATCTGTCTTGACTCTCTTGTATGTTTTTCGTGTATCGTCTTCTGATTCGCTAGCGCTGCCATGAATGGTTGTACTAATTCTTCGCTGATTCAAGCGCGGTACAGCTTTAATCCGTGACCGATTCAGTATCTTTGTAGGACTTTGTGGTTCGGGTATATTTTCAGAATCTGAAATTGGATTGCTTGTGCTCGGTGGTATATGTATCTCCGATTGTGGATTGCTGACAATTTCACAATCATTGCCGGCATTTACGGGGCATTCATTAGGAACCAGGTCAATTTTAGTTACTTTTGGTTTTAGTTTCTGGGATAACGATTTGAGATTAATTTTGGGTTTTATAAATGTACGCCTTTGAGAAATGCTACTATTTGTAGTACTTGGGAGATTCTGCACATCGACCTCGTCTCTACCACTTGATGCTACAGCATCCGATGTCACACTTCCTTCCTTTGGAACAATTGGATCAGCAGCACTCTCAGTACATTCATTCTTATTATTTGAAAGATCAGCAACATTATCCGTTTCTTGAACAGTGCTAGTAGGAGTGTCCTTGTGTTCTACATTCAAACTAGCGACTTTGGCGTTACCTTTAGTGCCCGATTCTGTGTCTGGTAAACACTCCTTGTTTTCGGTATCAACTTCTTTCACTTTATCTTCTACCTTTCGTCTCTGAGGAATGTTTGCAATACCCTTTATCCTATTCCTTCTGGTTGCCATACCGTTAAGTAAAGTTCGTCTTATGCAATTACAATCTACACATATTGAGAGTCAAAAGAGGTTATCATCAAAGAAAGTTAACCTTACCATTATCAAAGTTACCTAAATACTTTGTCGTGTCTAAAACATTGAAAATCTACCGCCTTTCTTATACTAACGCGCTTACATGACACAATAATTACATCCATGTAGAAATATGAAACCAAGAAAACTTGAAAACTAATCTTATCAACAAGCGTGCCAACTAACAACCACTGAAAACGAAATATCTCTAGATTGTCATTGGCGTAGAGAAGATTTTTATACCTTGTTCTATAGCTTTTTAACTCTAAAATCACAATTTAAGTAGGCAACACACAATACCAGATCATCCACATGGAATTTGTCAGAAATTATTTTCTATTTTTAGGGGTTTTATTTATTATACCATCAATGATTATACATATATACATGACGTTCCAACTCTTTATGGTTTTCAGGAGTGGTCTCTTGTACCGCGGCCTTAAGACTGAGTTTGAATTTTAATCTCACTCCCTTAGGAATTTGATAGGATGTCAATATGTAGAAGCAATCTAGATTCCTCCTGGGAGCAGCATCTTGTTCTGGTAGCATCTCGCGTACATATTCATTTCCAAAAGAAACCAGTGCCTCGATCTGTTATATGCCTCACACAGGGTCCTTATGATGGGTATGTGCTAAGTATAGATTTACTCTAACGCCGATATTGTAAAGGTGTCAGTTTATTCGATAGTGACCCTTTAGAGACCTATCAAAAGGCGTAGGTACATCATTCTTCAGTATAATAGAGGTCTATAGTTTTATGGACGGATAGAACACCATGTCCTGTCCTTCATATCTGGATGGAATATTGAGCTCGTGTAATAACGATACTACCTACGCTAATTAAAAGGGGATTTTGATTTTATTATTCGGAATACACGAGCACAAATAGAATTCAGAAAGGCACTTGAAAATCTCAAGTCAAATCTAATAGCGCCCTTGGCATCACGCCTCTCTGTACAGTTGATACCTATAGGTATATATGCCTCAAACAGAGATGCTCTGCCGTTTTTTTAAGATTCGCTTTAGGGGTTATTATTTAATTCTGTAACTATATAAACAGTCCTACCTAACCAATTACTTTTAACTTTTATTATTACATATTACCTATTATTACTTATTCTAATTATTATTATTAGTGAGCTCTGTGTAATGCGACTCCTAAGGCCTTGACTCTTCTCCTCCATAAAGATAGGCGTTTCGTAAAGGAAAAGCCGTTTTTGCTCCCATGGTATTCCAAATTCTTCTGGTAAATGGTATAGGTAAATGATGACTTTGATGCATTTACCGACGGTCCCTCTCACACACGATCCTTATTTAATCAATGAATTTCAGAGCGATTTGCATTCTATTCTTTTTATATACCTAATCTTATGGCGCAAATAGATTTGAGCAGAACAAGGGCTAATTAACATTGTCACAAAAAACCTCCAATTGAGATTTGGCATTGCAATTATTTGTGTCATTAGGTTTTGTTATCTCTTGTCGTAGATACATTAACAAATACATCTACTGATATTAGCATTTTGATTAGTTTGGAACGTCGATACATGGAGTACTCATCCATGCCATGCGATAACAATGAAATGCACTTATACGTACTTTTATTTATTCTATACCTACTATTTTTTTTCTGCCTAATCTGTACAAGATATTGCAATTAGTGCACAATATTTTTGAATGGTTTATCAAATATAATCCGTTTTGCTTTCATAAAATCAAATCCCTATTAGTTTCCCTAATGTATCCAGTACAACTGCGCGAAATGGAGCGAACTTCTCGAAATATAAGGTACATCGACAATGGAAATGTTCTTTCCGTTTTACCCGCGTTTTCAAACTTCGTGTACTCTGCATTAATACCGACTATTTGCGCGTTTGGAATAATAGGAAATTTAATATGCTTAGTAGTTCTCAGTAAAATGCAAAAACGTTGCTCTTTCTATGTCTATTTAAGCGGTAAGTCCTATTGATATTTACAAAAAGTGTTTGCAAAGAATCAGCGGTGATCGTAAAACGTAACCATTTGCAAACTCTTGCCTTTCATCGCGACCCCTTCATTCGAAAATGATCAAGATTTCTTCATTAACAAATGATGAAGAGTGGTTTGGAGAGACAACCCCATTACAAGAATAATTTTGCTTACAGTGGTCGCCACAGCAAATTTTTTGACATGCATAGTTCTATTTGTATCTGGACTATCCAGAGGTCTGTTATCCAATCATGGTAACTGGGAAACTTTGGATTCTCTAATATTTCTCCCCATTGGTGAATGTTTGAACTGTATCAGCGCCTGCGCTACCGTGTTTGTTACAATCGGTAGGTAAAGAGAAGACTGCCATCAAAACATTTCAAGTTTGCTGAATATTTTTAGACCGATTGATTTATTTAAAGAAACCAACACAGACATTCAAACCAAAGTTTTGTAAGCGCGGAGTTGCTGGACGAATTATGCTTTTTATCGCATGTGGTTCAGCAGTATATGTTTTGCCATATTGTTTTGTATACAAGTTAGGCGAGAATTGGACGGTGGAAAAAACTCCGTTTTATGATTCAATGTAAGTATTTTTTAAACGGCCAAGAAAAATAGCTTGATTGTGCTGATGCAGGCATCTACTATACTAAAAATAAATACAGTCGCAGGTAACAGCCCACTGCAAAACTTTCGCATGGGATCGATAGAGATGACAATATAATAGCATAATTTCTGTACACCTCACAGGTGACCAGTTTTGCGATGATTAACGTGACTGTTTTTATACTAGAAGAGCAATATATAGTACTGTCACAGTGTCATCACTCAAAAATTGTGTTTTTTTACTACTTGGCGTATGACTAAAACAAAGTTCAGCTAACTTTATGTCTAATTTAAAGAAATAATGGAATGTATTAAATAAATATTTGCATGAGGGCGAATTTTTTATTAGTTTGTTTTCTCAGATATTTTACAATATACAACTGGCTCGATGTTTGTCTACTTGCTGTAGTACCAGCAATTGTGCTGTCAATAGGAAATACAATGTTGTTCCTTTCAATAAGAAATGCTTGTCAAATACTGAAAGACTGTCAAAGTAAGGTGTGTAATGGAAAAATACGCGTAATAGTCGTAAGTATTACAAGACCTTCGTTGTTTTCATTGCTCTTTAAAATGTTTGGTCAGCTCAATAAAAAAAATCATGTTCAATTTCAGATTAAGTGGTAGAATAATGATATAATTTTAGGACCAAACCAAAATAACAATAACACTGGTAGCAATAGTGTTCGTGCATTTAATTGGAGAAGTACCCGCCCATTTCACACGACGAATAACTTCGGCAAATATACTTTTTGGTGGAGATGACAAGCAAGCTGAAGATTCTGTGATAATGGAATATTTTCGTGTTGCAACGACCCTTCTCAACGCACTTCATTTGGCAATGAAATTTATATTATACGCTAACTTTTGCCCTCCGTTTTGTAAAGCCCTCAAGAATTGTGTATGCCTTAAAAAACATCGAAAATTCAATAGAACGACTGTTAAGTTATATTTAATTGAAATTAATTTTTTAGCTACCCTCGAAAAATGCGCTAAAGAATGTAGTCAAATTAAAATATTTGATAGTTTGGTTGGCAAAAGTAGTGCCTTGAGAGTTCAAAATATATTGTGCTGAACTATTACAATTTATTGGGTATAGTGTGTGAGGAAATTCGCCTTTTTGTACATTGTAATAATCACATATACCTACAATAAGCACATATTCTATGTTTAATTCCATCATTAATAAACAATTAATACAACAGTCATTTAGATATAGGAAAAAACAATCCTCTTAGTGTATATACTTACCTAATAAACAAAAAGGCTAAAGCAATATCATTTTAGCCGTCGTATGTTATTACCAAATATCCCCGTCTTCATCTTGTATTATAGGAGATACCTATCCTGCACTATACCTACCCTACCCTTCTACGCAGGACGGACAGCAACCGCATTTCGAGAGACGATTTTCCTGCTTTTTCAGCCGTCAAGCGGCACCTCAAGACACGAGTGTTGGATCAATGAGAGTGCCTATCAAAGGACTTCATCTCTAATATCTAAGCATGGCCCCACCAGTCAAGTAATTTATGTTTAACTTAGCATATATTTTAAGTTTATAACAAAGTTCGCCAGGATGGTTTTCGAAGAACGCAAATTATATCTAGAGCAAGACATTTACGCCACCAGACCACTGCCGTACCGCTAAAGAAGATTTTGGCAGCATTTTCAAGAAGAGAAACGACGGAACGTCACCAGCGGATTCTGTAACCGTTCCGTGCGTGGTATAATTTTATACTCGCGCCTGGACATATTTAAGTATCGCAGTTCCCTTTATGTGTAGCGCATTTTCTAACGAAGTTGGGCGCGCTATTGCCGTCCGGGGCCTAAACTATTACAGTTTTCAATATATTTAGTTCGTTCTTTATTTTGAATTCGGTAGTTTATATACTTCTGGCACCTGAGCCAAATTATGACGATTAATGTGCGCATGCGCAGAATGCCAACTTTCATATTTATGGGGATATTTCTTTGAAATTTTACCCAAAGATGCTTTTAGTAAAAGCAAACGTATCGTATATTGTAAACATTAGATTAATGTGCGCTTGCGCAATATCATCTGTCTTATTTATAGAGATATCTTTTTGAAATTTTCATCACAGATGCTTCTGTTAAAGGCAAGCGTATCTCATATTGTAAACAGTGCGTATTCGCAGTCTATGTGCATTCTACCTGCGTATAGTGCAAACTTCCTTATTTATGAAGATATTTCCTTGGAATTTTAGCAATAGATGCTTCTAGTAAAGAAAAACATATCACATGTAGGTACTACATATCGAAAACTACAAATGTGATTACTGATTAGCAAAGGCAAACACATCGCACATTATAAAAACCCAATGCGCGCATGCGCAGACTGCAAAATGCCAACCTTTTTACTTATGAGATATTTCTTTGAGTAGTAAACCTAGTAAAAAAAAAACATAAAACATTCACAATCTCTGTAACAATGTTAATAAAGAAGTCATTAAATTGTTCTGTGGTAGCATTATGTATCCCATCAGATTTGTAATGGCCGTGAAAATTATTTCGACAACTGTTTACATTTTTCAGCATGTAACATATTTACATTGGGTAAATAAAAATGGTTTTCAACATCATAATAGGTATATATTTACAAAACTGTGTAAGTACAAAATATGTACAAGTAGGTAAATTTGGTTCAATGGTAAAAACATTTAATTAATTAAAAAGGTGCGAACCAAACCGGCTGATTTGAACACCACGTAACAGTATAAAATCTACGAAGAGTCTCACTATCCAATCTATGGGACTAGAATGACCAGATTATAGTAAAATAGATTATATATAAACGCAATTTCTAATAAGTTACACATTGGTCAAAGACACATGCCCGGATTTTGTGTACACCACTGAGGCCATATTGCTTCAGCAATTAGTCCACGCTCTACTAACCTATCTCTTTGCGTACTTAAACGCGTATATACATTTTCATCTAACGCGAATCCGTTAATTTGGTTTGTGACAGGATCCGTCCAAACTCTTTCGGCAAATGCCGCCGCGCGAGGCCATAAACGGCCGTCAAGCGAATCGCTGTCTACCTGCTCACTCCACAGACATGCTTCTCCCCCTAGTATCTTCTCCTTACTCACAGAAATACTTTCCCAAGGTCTGTGAGAATATATGGACTGCCAAGTGCGATACGGGTCGCAAGCTGCTTCTCCCGTTTCTCGCCAACGGCCAAACCCGCAGTCCAAATACCAGGCATCAACGTGAGAAATAATTAAACGGTAGCCCTCCTGTAACAAATCGGTCGTTTGTCCCCACTGAAATGGTCCCCACGCTTGTATAATAATATTATGCTTGTTTAAATATTTAGAAGTGTATGGTTTCTTGGAGAGATTACTAGACCACATTACTACATATTTCGGTAATCTGCCACCATTTGCGTTTTTCAACCTTTCTAAAGCTTTTAGTGTGAAAACGCCCCACAGGTCGTGTAAATCTGTATAATTTGTTTTGGGATTGTTCCATTTCACCTCGCGGCCCCAACATTCCAAATTCACCTCGTCCCCTCCCAAATGAAAGATCTCGGTCTCCTCACTCAAATCTAAAATGTCTTTGTAAAGTTTTTCTAATACATTGTACATGTTTGGGTTCGTAGGATTTAGTTGACCGCATGGCGGTTCGCCACAATACGCGCTCCACGGTTGTTGATTCACGCAAACCGCCAAATCGCCCAAACTTTCCGTTGGTCCCCAATTCCATCCATTTCCAGCATGTGCGGGCGTATCTATTTCTATAACAACCCTTATCCCTCGGACTCGCGCGTAATCCACGACATCCTTGATATCTTCGGGATGATAAACCATGTCGCTACTGTACGCACCAAACTTGCTCATTTTGGGTACCCGCGGAGACGCAAATGGAAAGCTTTGAGAATCCGTGATGTGCCAGTGGAACACGTTCAGTTTGTTTGCAGCCATTCCCGTCAGCACTCGCTTAATACTTTCGATTGGAATAAAATTTCTGGCAGTATCCACCATTATTCCCCTGTAGGGAAAGGCGGGAGAATCACTAATACTTGCGATTTTTAATACCTTCAATACACCGCCGTGCGCAAATTCGTCCCACCAAATCAATTGCGATAAGGTCTCTAACGCGTGCCTCGCGCCAAAAAACGTACTAGCTTTTATACTGGCCACAAGATCAGTGTCGATAGTTTTTAACGTCAAACTGTAACTTTCATTCGTTCCGATCTGTAATTTCGTTATATCCGAATTTATCACATTTACGTATACCCTAAATTTGTTAATATCACTATGTTTAAAATCACCATTTTTATTTCGCGTTAATTTTTCTACATTACCTACGAAGCTCGCGAACGCTTTGTCTAAAAGGTCTTTTACAGGTCCCACTAGTACAGTTTCTAGATGTATTTGGTCCAAACTAAAAATTAGACCTCGAGAACCTAAGGTCACCGGCCCAGTGGGACTAGGCCATAGTTGCATATTTCCGCACAGCATGTTGCAAGTAGTCAGAGAGACCGATTGGCCGTCTTCTGGTGTTTTCGCATGCCGTTGGCATTTGTCAGCTTGACACTTCCACGTCCACACGCCGTCCTGCGGAGATCTGCAACAAAAGTAATCTTAAGAAAAAATATGGCCAAAATGACTGCAACTTTGGAACATGAAATAAATCTTGATAGGTCTGTGCACTCTAAATCGATCGTTTAATTAGAAAATAAAGCATTAACTCGTTCGTATATTTTATTTTAGACCCCCTACTTAGCCTACTTAGTAGGTAGGTATTTAGAAAGGCAACTGTTAAAATGTGCGAGCAAACACTCACTCAAACCACGTCCTGCAAAATCATATAATTAAAGGTTTCCTATTCGTACCTAAGTGAACGGAGCAGTTGCAATTTATGAATCTATAAAGATTGAAATTATTAATCATTCCCCGCGAGGGCACCAATCGATTTGGTCGTAAGCGCAAAATAATTACACCCCACCCCTTTGATTCCAACATATATCAATATGTCAAGAGTTAAGGAACTCTGCAATCAAATCAATCCTAACCAATTAAGTTCCAAACAAAATAATTTGCTGTATTAAGTACATTTTATAGGATCAATGAACACACGAACAAAGATTTCGGTGACATTGGATTTTGTATTTTAGTTTAATTTACCATTAATTACTCTTACTATAATCAAAGACTTTGCTATAATTACCTACCTTGTAAAAAAATTTAAAAAAACTTAAAAGACCCAAAGTGCTAACTGATAACTTAAACAGCAATAAGTAATACTCGTAAACATAAGCCTTAAAGTTAGCTATCAGAGACTTAACAACAAACACTACCATTTTATCACTTTCACTAGATCCACTTCAAAATAATTTAAAAATCTTGGTTACTTGAAGTATTTTGGCTATGGTGAATTTACAATCTTTGTAGGGCATTTATTAAGCCGTCATATAATGTAATAATATACAGGGTGTTCCTTTTAACGACAATGATACTATGATAGCTTGGTAAACAATACATTTTTGTTATTATCTGCAAAATACGATGTTGTTTTGTTTGTTAAATTACAGATTTGGATTCAGCACTTGGGCTGCCCTTTACGTACAAATTCCGATTCGAGCTTAGTACTGTTCGAAATAAGACTCAATATATTCATTATATTCGATGGAATGAGACAGTAAAACTTTCAATGGCGCTTTCAGAAAAACGTATAGGAATTAACTTCATTCGTCATATTAAATGTCTGCATATTCGCCCGGAAGAATTGGTAATCTTCAAAGTGATTAACTACATTAATTTCTTTCAATAGCTGAATGTGACTGGCAGTACATTCGTTTTTTGTACTATTCTTTAACTTTTTTTCTTCTTTCTTTTACTTTTTTCATAGTGATGTAAAGGAACTATTGGTGCTGTTTGTTTCTTATTTTATTGCACTCATTAATCCGTAATTTTGACGTATTTACACTTGGCGTACTACGAACAACGATTAAACGTGAAGGGTAAACATGGTACTCATGCAATGCTCGCCAACGTTGATGTCATGCAAGCTCACTGACCTCTTATAATTCAGGTCAGTGGCAAAGCTCGAAGCATAAAGTGCGTGCGTGTAGGGTCGCCTTAATTTGAATCAGTATATTGTACTATGCGATCAAAAATTAGTTGCTGTTGAGTCAATTTTTGTTTACTTGGCAAATCGTACTTGACTTGAACTTCCAAAGGCTACTCGAAAGCAACTCATTTTTGATCGCCCGTTATATGCAACTGGATATAAATGTAAAAAGCTGTGATGAAATGAGATTTACACGTCACAACCAGTTATAAAATACCGGCTTTGTTTAATGAGGATTAATTTCTCGCATACTTAGAAAACCCAGACATTCATAAAATGCATATATAACCTACTTACAATAATTCGTTTAAGTTTGATTAGATGGAAAAGTCATTTTCAAATGCATCGAGTGCAAAGTTTAAAGCAATTATGAGTTATGACGTTTTAAGTTTGTGCCTTGGTCTCCTTGAACTCCTTAAAGTTGTTAGTATTTTTATATGATAGTAAACAAAGCAATGGCAGCCTAGATGGCAGCAATCTTATAATACTTATTGTTATTTGGTGCAGTATAATAATATATTATACAGTGAATTTTTTTTTAATGCGAACATAGGAGTTTGTATGCAATGTAATTTCCCTATGTTCGATTTTTAAAAAAACACATCAATCTATTGAGTAGTTCAAATGAGTAGTAGATACAATTGACAGCTGTCGCATTTTTAAAAATGCCGCCGTCCAATTTAATGACGAAATCGGTTAGGTTATTGCTTAGAATGTCAAGAAGGACACTTCGAACATTTATTGTAATTGTTTTCGTTATTTATTTTCTTATTTTCTTTATTTATGTATTGAATAAATAAAATTAGTAGAATACCAGGTGCACATGACCTACAAATAATTGAAGGTTGGTTCACAATGAATTGTGATGTCAGCGCGTGCCATGTGAAGTCAAGTTATCGTAAGTGAAAGAAAAATTTATCCTAAAGTTGCTATGGCCTCACATGGCTTAATTAAAAGAATCTTACCGAGTGCTCTTCATCATAAAGACTATGAGTTGCTGTTCATAGTCACACAAATTGCGCGTTTTGGGAATGTGAACCGCGCACATCTCATAAATTGATGTGTTTTTTTTAAAATCGAACATAGGGAAATTACATTGCATGCAAACTCCTATGTTCGCATTTAAAAAAAACTCACTGTATATTAAGATAGATCGAGTTCGAAGTTTAAGGTGTGAAGACAATAATAACCTTCTTCTATTTAATTCTTCTTTATCTATTGTTGTGAGACCTAACCTTCACTTCTGGGAATCCCACGATTTACCTCTAGCTAGCTCAGTTGTAATTAAAAAAAACCAAATTTTTACACGCATCTCAAGGTCCAGCTGGATTCTGCCACCCTACAGCATTCCAACAATGACATGAATAGGTGGCTTAACCAAATCCTTAAATTCCAATACGAAACTTTACCCCCAGATTTTAATAAACTTGAAACAAAGTAAGAGACGCCGACAATTACCTCTCTTTGACTCTAATAAACAAAACCTGGATTGCAATGACTGGTTTAATTTCAGGCAAAAAATTGCGTAAATTTCTGTTTTACAAATTGTTACAATTTTAAACAGATAAATGACACACAAAAAAAAAACAAATTACTCAAACATTACAAAAAAAACATGACAAAACAAACCACTAACTACTACTTACTTTTAAATTTGTCCGATTAACGTACTCTGATACAAAGAGGTATCCGTACACGATCACAACAAAAAAATTTTCACACAAACCAAACACTCAAACACCGACGTCTTCTCTCTTCGGGTACCCACAATTATTTTCAAAATTCCGTGTTTCCGCAAAATAAAAAAAAAACAGGACGGCGACAAACTTCTTAAACTTTTCAAAAATTCTTCTTAAACGGCAAACAAAAATTCTAATTAAACCTGGATCCACTACGCAAGAAACTTCCACAAAATTCAAAAAAATAACGTAACCGAAAAAACGCCGGATGGCTTTGTAACGACTAAAAAGCCCCGCTCTCTTCAAAAATTTTCTATTTAAGCCAAAAGCCCTTCTCCTTTCTTCAACATCCCGCCCGCCAATCACGCGAAGCGTCGATTTTTCAACTTCTTGCTAAACGGCACGTACGCCCGGCAATTCTGCGAAGACAACCTTATCTCTACTTCGCGCTATACCTCGTTAACGGCAAATAAAAATTTAAAAAGAAATTTACATCGAAAAAAAATTCTAGGAATAAAATAAAAACAGAACACTTCTAAGAAATTGAACCAAAACTATAACATGAAATTTACGCAATCCTGTGTCTCAAATTATTAATAACCCCCCCCGGTTAATTAATTGAACTAAACAAAATTGTCACATCCAGACGCTCTATAATTTCTTTCAAGTTACAACTAAAACAAAATAACACAACACTATACTACTAAAGAATGAACATCATGGAGTCGGGAAATCAGAAACCATGCGAGATACACAGTCGGTAAAATTGTAAAAACAAATAACACTTCCTCATAGGTAAGGAAACCTACAGAACAGCATCAAATGTTAAGCACATTAAGGGGTCTATTCTGAATATTGTCGTTACCAACGATATCGCAATGGTAACGATTTGATCTTGAGTGACAGCTATTCTCAGTATTACTGTTATATCTTATATGCCATACAGAATAGAGAAAGTCGTTGCCGAACGATAACCGCTGTGTAACGACATCGTTACGCGTTAGAGAATGGGCCCCTAAATCGTTGTCCTAACAATGAGCACACATCAGTATATTCTTCCGCATGCTCATCCATTTTTTTCAGCAGCGAAATTAAACGGTTTATTTTATGGCGTGGAAAAAACAGTATAAAGTCCAATTTGTTCTCAGGTTCCTCTATGGTTTTACAAAAAATGTTCATATTTCCGCCGCTGCAACTCGGAATATATTAGAAGTAAAAGTTTATTACAAAAAATGTGAGGCAATTTTGTCTTATTTAACTTTTATTGGAACCCTACTTTCGTAAGATCAACCGCTGCGGAGCTTTTTTGAAAAAAAAAACGATTTTCTATACCTTTCATATATGACCCTTCAAGGTCGAAAACATGTTTTTTTCGAGGCCCAGACCTCAACAACTCACTAAAGAAAGATATTACTACACCTCCTTCTGTAGGGCCAGTAAGTAATCCTCATACCTAAATACCATGACAAAGATTTGTCTTAATTGTATGGCTAATAGGTCGATTATGTCTCACTTTGACCTTGAATTTTGCGCATGCGCCAAATCCAAGCGTGGTTGTTGGATAAACCCTAAGATAAACCCACTGAAGGTCATCGTAGTTTGGACAACAACCACGATGAACTTCAGTGAGTTTAGACAACAACCCCTCTTGGAGTTAGCGTAGGTATGCGCAGAACTCAAGGTTACAGTGAGCCACTTACCTATTTATGGCTATTGTTTAAAGTTATACATATACAAAACAAACATACTCGCATATTTTCAAGATCAAAAAGCATCAATGAGGAATTAATTTGATTGTATTGTAGTATTGTATTGCAGATTATTTAACGACCATTATTATTAAGCATTAAGATCGGTGGAAATTTACATTATGAGGTGATTGACACCAACAACCCAGTTACTAATCTAAATTTTACATTTATGGAAAGAACAATAAGCAAATCTGCATAGAATGAGTCAAATCGCCAATGTCAATTGAAGGAAATTTGCACAATTTGTTCAGTTTCTATCTTTATACACTCATGTCCAATAAAAAGTTTCGACTTTTTAGTCGCAGTAGTTAATTCATGAAGTTAACCTGCTGTATCAATCACTAGAAGTGATTTCATGGCCTACTACATTGTTTGTGTGTGACACTATTTCCTATTGTTTTTAGCGCATTTTTGCAAATTTATTGGTAAAGAGGTAGCTTTTACTCTCTTTGACCGGTTGGCTCGCTGGCTGGCAGCAAATGAGGTGGGTACGTGTACACCTCCCGGGGCCGTGTAATTAACAACTCTAGCTCGAATCACGATCTGTCGTTCTCGTGTACCTCGAACTATAAGAAGTGCCCCACAAATTGAGTACTAGGTATTTTGTGAAGAGTTTGTAGCGAAATACATCAAAATGCGAATTGCGGATGAACGGGACGTCGGAAGTGAAAGTCTAAACTCGATACATGACCTAGGGAATGAAATATGTGGATTTCTATTATATTGACCCACAGTTTTTCATGTTCCCGATTTACTCGAAGTGCTATAACTTTTTGTTTCCGTTGGGTCAGCTTCTTGAAAATCAATAGCGCCCTACCTTAATGTACAAAATACACCAACAACACAATCGGCCACGTTTAAAAAGAGTTATAGCGCACACGGAGCAAAATCCTTAATAATAATTAGAGCATATTTTTTGCTCTGCGCTCTTCAAACTCGAAAGGATTAGGTGGAAACTTTTTATTGCACCTGAGTGTATATAAAATTCTTCTCTACGTGTTTCTGACTGACATCTTCTTAAACGACTGGGCGGATTTTGATGAAATGCTTTTTGTGTCTTTGACGGTCCCCAGATAGATCTGACTGATTGTAGGATAGTTGCTCTTCGGGTTTCGTCTAGTTTCTCATTTAAAGATTTCAATTAAATTTCAAGAATTTTCATCACTACCAAAATACATATCTTTTGTGTAAAGAAGCGCATCTTTATCGTATAATTTTCATTCCGTTATTAATTATATGAAATTTGCATTTCAAAATGAACCACCGATTGCAATTTGTAATTTTGATTAAAAAAACTCAACACTTCCAAAAACTGGTCCATGTAGATAGCTAGGGGGAAGTTTAATAGAAGGTTTACTTTAGTTTTAGCATTTACCGGGCACCCCAGCTAAACCCCCCCCCCCTCAACTTATTTATTTATTAATTTTACCTTTATTTTTGAGTAGGCGGGATTTCAGTCAAGGCTGCTCTATAAACCCGCCCCACTATATATTTACAAATATCCATGCCGGAACCCGGATTCGAACCAAGGACCCTTAACACCGCAATTAGTACATACAGGACAGGACGACGCCCATTTTAAATGTGAGCGGCCGAAGGGAGCGAGGTTTTAAAGGGGCAGAGTCGTTTAAATTATAAAACACCGTGTTATCTTCAAGATTGTGTAGCTATTCTATTCTATTCTATTCTCAGGGGAGCCCGACCGTGCAGCACTTAGGCACATCAGAGGCCCATTGTGCCTACCCCCTTTCTTCGCAACTGAGTTCAGAGCCCGTTCCTCTCAATGAAGGATGGGACCCTGTTTAGCCTAAGTTGCTTCACCCTCCTCGGTTCCAGGTATCTGTCTCCAAGGAGTTGATATCTGTCCCTGATCAAAGCGTCACAGTGACAGACCACATGCTCGGTAGTTTCATCTGCCTCGCCACAGAACCTGCACGTGGACTCCTCCGCGAGCCCAATGTTATGCAGGTGATAGTTGACCATCCAGTGTCCCGTAAAGACACCGGTAATCTTCCTAATCTGGCTTCTATTCAAGATTGTGTAGCACTGAAGCTTATTTTATCCAAATTCGTCTTTTAATATTTAATCATGAGAGAAAAATGTTTCTCAAGGCTGGCGTAGGTAGCAACCATGGTAATAGAATCAATGAAATTAGGTACGAAAACTTAAGCAGCGTGTTTTAAGTAGTGTACAAACGAGTGTACAAAGGACGTTACCCTTGGCGACGTACTTTATAAGAAACAATAAATGTTATAATCATTGACTTATCAAACGAAAACAGTTTAAAATGTCAGTGTTATAAAAAATTATAATCGAAAGTGTCTCATTTTCAACACCATAGACATTTCACGTTTCAATTGTTTAAAATTTACTAGGAGTAGTTGAACCATGACGTAATGAAAGGGAAGGTAACAAAATAAATAAAATGCAAGTTCTTTAAGTATACTAAAGTGTCAAACTAAATGAAGATAATATTCGAATATTCGAAAAACATAACACAGACAATGGGCAGGTCTGCCCGAATTCGTTATTTTATTTAAGGACTTCCCATTGAACAGAAAGTCTTGAATTTGGGTAAAAAAAAATAGCCCGTCAATACCCCGTTTTTCTGCATACATACTGCAATGCAGGGCCTTACACTGCCTACCTATTTTGTTTGCCTCTATAATGAATGTGTAGCATGTGGGCAAGTTAATAATAGAGGAACCCTTCAAAAGCCTTAGCCAAATCATAGTGTAATATACTACCAGCTTTTCCCGTTTTATAAAATATTTAAATTCCTTGTTATGCATACAGGTAGAGATTATCGCAAAACACGAGGAAAACAGGAAAAGTAAACATATGTCAACAAGCCGATATAAATCCGATTACAATTGGTAAAAGCAAAAGTTAAACCCGAGGTTAAACCAAACTGGAAAAATCCACTGTTACATATTTCTAAGATAACTTTTAAAACAAACAGCGTTGCTGTGATTTCTTTCTTCATGGCGTATGCTTACTTCCGAAATACAGAATTTAACACGCCAATCTAACAGTTCAAAACCCTTAATTATATGGTTTTCAGTTAGCCGTTTTATGTTTAGGTTAGTCTTATCGTTCAAACATCGAAACATCCAATTTAGATTATCTTGATCGTGTGTCTACTATCTACTAATACTTACTTTGTGATAGTTTCTTGGTGTTTTGCAGACAGTCGCGGTTGGTGTTTCCTTGAAGATGTGAACTGATGTCGCATCAGGTAAAAAATTAGCACTCCGCACATCAGCAAAAGAAAATACAAAACTTTCTTAAGCCCCAGCGGTCGCACTATCTGCAACAATGGAAATTTAATAGTACGTAGCATTGTTTCGAACAGTAAAAGTACATGGAACATTCGAATTTAGATTCGATGACGTCCTTTGTGACGCCAGTAAAAAAATTGATCCATTTACGTCGCACTGCTTCAACTTTCTCAAAATGAAAATAGTTGATTAGATTCGGACTAAATGCAATATACGAACTACTCTCGAAATAATAATTAGTAAAACTGGCGGCGGTTGTATTCCGAATCGATTCGGTGGAAATAAAAAATATAGGTTAATATTGATTATCTCGAGAAAACTAACGGCGAAACATTGCGTATCGGTCCTACCTATAGTAACGTTCGCTGATATAACAAAATTGTGCTGTACAGGTACAGAGAAAAACATTTGGGAGGATTGATGCCTCCATGTCGCTTCAACGGATCATTTTAATTTCCGGAACGGCCCAAATTAATGGGTACATTGAAAAAGATGGCACAATCTCTCCGAATAAGCCGACCACGTTCCAAAATTCAGGGGTCAATGTTGTGCTGGGAGGGTGAGTAAAACGCGAACAGTTCAATACACTGAAATTTATACGTTTTGTAGCACAATGATGGCGGGAATTGTGATTACGGTATTTTTGATTTGTTACTGTTGTCACCGAAGGCAACAGTACGGCCAGACGAATGTCCCACAATATTGGCGAGATCCTGGACTGTCAGTGGAGGTGTACACAGTCGAAGGACAGCAGGTGGGTACATTTAAGTGAGAATTGGTGCGTCAAAGACATTGTTTTTAGACCTATGAGGTGCCTGACGATCTCTCAGGACACGTCCATCAAGGTCCGCCACCCTCATACGAGAGCGTTGTTGTGGTGGATTACGAAGACATAGATAAGGTTGATTTGCGAAATGTTATAAAGAATCATCCCGACTATGATGGGGGGTTACCTACTTACGATGATGCTATAAAGATGGCTCGCAGAGAAAACTCTACCTAAGCCTTTTAGATATACCGGGTGGCGATTTGTGAGACAAGAAATTATTTAGCAAAACTCTCATTCTATTTACCAAAATCAAAATCAAGATGGTTATAATTTGGCAAATTGAAAACTAAAATGTTATCTACCTACGTGAGAAGCACCACCCGGTTTACAAGGTAACATTTTTATTGCGTGTTTCACTTAAGCAATAATTGAATGTGAACAAAATAGCAAAGGCAATATACCTTTATAAGGCTGTGGAATATCCGTCAATCAAAATTAGTATTATTTATTTTATCTTATTAGAAGTTTACGTTCTAAACGCTTAGGCGTAAAGCAAACTTTTCTGTGATAGATTTGAATATAATAAATATAAAATCTCCTTTCCTTTAGGTTTAGATGCAGTACCTGCTTAATGTTATTTGGAAATCTAAATTGCGGTTCTCCTAAAAAAGCAATGCCCGATTTGGGAACTGTAGAAAATATACGGATGCTATACTCATTTTAATTGATTTACTTTTTTATTGCTTCAACCCCGCATTGGTCATTGCTTAGTAGGTAAATAGTGATTGATATTACATACACATTATATTTAGCTGTAGTACCTCTATGTGTTATTAATTGTCACTAACTAATTATCACAATATTTTCTTGAATACACAGATTTGTAAACACAATGATACATCCAAAACGCAAAGTGGTTGTGACATTATCTAAAGAAAGCTACTCGTTTATCTACTACACGGTCGAAATGTATCCAATTTTGTTTGTTATACTTCGTTATATCATTTTGTAAATAAAAAGTACCTAAACTTTTAAAAATTAATGGAAGACGTATTCAACCAACACTGACATCAGTAAATAGCAAAACACGTAGTAGCGATCTGTAATCTATAAAAAATTGACAAGAGTAATTTCTCTTATTTAGATCTTTTGTTCAAGATGTAATTAAGTTATTACCACCATTTCATGTCAATAGCAATTTTCAGTGAAAACTATGTCAGGAAGACCTTCACAAAAAAAATGCAAATTTCTGTAATTGAGGTGATGACCAAAAGTGCCGAATTCAATTTATCACTGGGACACTTTCTTTATTTTTTTGCCAATAACTCCTAAAGTACTTATATAATGCTTCTAGCAGAAAATGTCTACATACAGAGCTGTAGCAGGAATACCGAGTTACAGGGTTTCGAAACTGTTGTGAAGAATTGTTATCAATTCCTGCTTGTGAAATTAGCAAAAGAATAAACTGGGTTTTGCTATTTTCTAGTTAGGGTAGTCTTTATCTCGTGTTCTTTATTTAGCTCCATATCTTATTCAATATCTGATTTTTTACGATAGATAAATCCCGGGTAGGATAAAATGAAATTACGTTAATTATCGCAAGAAAACTAATGGAGAAACGGCTCCGTTCTCTTTTTACTATATGAAACTGTAATTTTAGTTTGGTGACAGTTGTCGCCTTCCTACAATAACAATTCCAACGTGATATTCAGGCAAATATATTGATAAAATCAAACTCCCGGTTTCCAAAGGCATTCTTAAATCCCATTCCCAAAACTAATATATTATCAAAATCCCCTTCCTTCATAATGTCACGTAATTTTAACATATACTGTAGACATGCAGACATTAATTTTTCTCCTCTATCTGAAATTTTGAAATTTGTTTAATTTGTTTTCTTTTATGTATTTGTTTTCTTTTATGTAATGTCATGGTTTAATTTAGTTACTTAATTACATTGTAATAGGTTTACTCTTATTTTATTTATTTTGCTTATTATCTTTTTGTCTATAGTGCCGCTTACGCAAACGTAACAAACTTTAATTTTGTTCTGTTATTGGATACTTTGTATCTGTAGAACAATAAACATTATTATTAAATTATTAATTATTAATTATTAAACTCAATCCAGCTCCATTCCTTTACTTCGATTAAACTTCTTCAAACCTAACCTTTTTTAACAATGTTTAAAACTGCAAGCTTACTACCCTTTACGTTACAGTTGATAAGTATATTGTAACGTTAAATTAATTACGTCGTTTATTTATTTATAAACTATTAACAATGAATATATAACAGTCTTGAAATGGATGGATTAATAACAGTAAAATATTATTTATCAATCACGAAGACATAATTTATAACAATGCGAACTATTTATGACTTCGGCGGTGAAAGTGGAACTGTACTGAAACGCAATTCAATTTGCCCCTCTTTCTCGGAAAGATTACGTCACATCAGCCTTCGTTCTTTATCGCCGATGGCTAATCTTTGATGGAGCGTCAATGTCTATAGAAATTTCTGGAGTGTTCGCTACGATATTTTTCATTTTGTAATTTAAATTTAAACGAATTCAGGTAAATGAGACGTGCGCGCGCATTCATTCGGAAGAAAGGCGTGAAGTACGCAAGACACGCTTGACGTATATTTAATATGGCCTCTAACTAATGAATATTTGGTGGAAAAAGTGCCAATATTGTTCCACAACTGCTTTTTCATACACATCACCAATTGTTCAACGAGTAGAAACAACTCAAATCTAGCAGATCTACTTCCACTTCATGTACGACCACCATAAAAGTTTTTGTTGTTAAACGTCGATATTATCGAAGGAGCAATTACAATTCGGATCAGAGATTTCTGTGAAAAGTATATAAGATTAGAAGGAGGCTTTCGTTGTGATAATCCTGCCTTTGTCGTCGTTGTACCTTTTCGTAATAATTGTGGAAACGACCACCGTTACCTGCATTTTCCTGTGACGTCAGTTACATCAGCTGTTTGAGATAAGATACATCGTCTTGCATTCTATGTATATTAAATAAACTGAATTACGTTTGCGTTTCTCTGAACCATCATTTATATCGTTGCGCGTAAGAATTGGGGGTAATTTTCAGTTCAAATTGTATATTTTAAAGAGATTTTTTAGTTACTATTCGAAACTTACATGGAATGATTATTTTATTTAAATTGTAATCTATAACGTTTGCATCATAAATAAAGCAGACGATGTATTACCTGCCTTTGACAGTATATATCGATTTTAAAGATATGATTCAGGTAACCTATTGATTTTGATGAGTGATATATAAAATTGGTGCTTTATCTGAGCACAACGTACCCAATTTTTCTTCTCATAATACTACCCAAATTAAGTTTGGGTATACCAATATCACATTATTTATTTACCCCATAATATACAACGGATCTTTATATAGGCAAAGTAAAAGCCGTAAGTTTATACGCCGAGAGGACAGGAGCAACTACAAGCCGACAAGTCAGTAAGAAATCATTGGCGTAACCAACATTGAGATAACATACATAAATTGGTGCCGTCCAATAAAAACACTCAAAATTACTACTTGCCAAATTATATGAAAGAAAATTGTTTCCTTGTAATTTACATGACTAAACGGATTCAATCAACTACAATTTAATTTTACAATTGCTATATAACAATATCACAATACCTTTTGTGTCAACCTCGGTGTCAACACTGTTTTTTGAAGTTGAGGGCTACAAGGCGGTAGCTGCCAACTACTCCCGAAGACAAGCGGGAGAGAATTCATGCGGTTTTATGTGGTGTATCACCTGAGGCCTCTAGGGGCTGCGAGACCGTTTGCGATTATACCACCAACACGAGTACCAACAGGAAGGTCGGCAGCCGGCAGTTGTCAGATTTGCCTTTGTTCGTGCATCATTTTCGCTCTAGCAGTTGTAAATCTACCCAACACCTTTTAATAAACAACATGTTAACAGAGACGTTAACCATATTCTTTTCAATTTAAAAAAAAGTACACTTGTATTCGGAATAAAATAGGTTTTTCTACAAATTGGTATTTAGACAGAGCTATTATTTGTTTAGGCGGGTGCCATTTTAAATTTAAAAATTATGTTTTAAAAAATCCGATATGGATAGCCCGTTTCATGTTCATTTAGAATATCAAAGTCGTTTTTCAATACAAGTTGTCCCTTATACAAAAGGAAGAATTCCCCCAATCTTCACCCGGGAATTCGACAATGAATCTCAGGGGATTTCTATACCTATACAAACTTGAATTCAAATGATACAAAATACTCACAAAAGGAAAGTGGAGTTATGGAGGAGAGACGTAGGTATCAGTTATAGAGGGATCAAAACCACCTTGCAATGCGATAGGATGGTCTACCTAATTAAATTGTAAATATCAAAACAAATAACTTACTTTCGAAAAGTAAATGGAGAATACTTACACGTAAATCATCTTTCCACAACTTCCATTTCTGCCTCACTCGTTGAGGTGTATAATACAAAGTACCAAGAAGCGACATGCTATTTTTTCCAAGGCAGTATCAACACAGAGATAAAATAATAAGCGATATTAATAACTACAGGTCTATTGTCATAAAACATTAGCCTTAAATAGTGTATGGAGATAAGACCAAGGTAATAACAGTTTTCGAATAAATATACAACGTATTTTTAGGAGGCACCCATTTATACATTGCAAGTAAATCAAAGTTTGCGATTTTAATCTAATGTTGCCTTAAGATAAGAAAAAACACTAGATAAAAGATGTAAACGTTTAAATGATACTTTGGCTTGGTTATGATCTAGAGGCCCCCAAATATGTTATGATAATTACCAGAAATGTTACGTCGACGAATCTTGGGCTAGGTCTTGCAGCATTTCTTATAGTACTTGAGTGCTGTTCTTCAAAATCACTATCCCAAGTGAACATTATCATATACATTCACTGCTGGTTTGTCACTGTGAATCACTGTAGAGTTGCCCGTTAAAATCAATGTTTCTGACAGAACTATCTGATTATGCTTTAGCCGAGGCATTAGCTGCAGTGTCATGGTAACGTTTCAAACACTCAAAAATATAATATGGTTGCAGGTTACGATTGGCTCAACGCATGTATCAAAAGAAACAAGAGATCGACTCAACATCAGACAAAAATTACAAAACTGTTTTGACCGGATCCAGAAACAAAAAGCAACGGCCTGAAAAATGCCCGAAGGAACAGATATTCATAATCCAAACTATGGTGCAATAATCGCGGTCATGGAAATAACTCGATTGAGAGGACGAACCAAACCAGAAAATGGCTCATAGTTTAATGCTATTTCGGCACCGACTAAAATTGGATAACAAAAAGAAACAAAAAAAAACATTCACACGTGCACATTAGAGTATGACTATTTTTCAAAATCAAAGGGTGATGGTTCAGTGATCTTATAGCACGGTAACAAAATGACCGAAATGTAGGGATGAGGTGTCATGGAGAAGTGAAAAGGGTATGAGGGAATGAGAAATGAAGACATAGAGGAAAAGGTGGTGAAGATAAGAAACATAATTGAGGTACGAAAAAGAAACAAAGAAGAAGTAAAGGGGCGTAAAATACGTGGAAGTTTATTCCAGTAGACTACATCTACGTCAGAAATAATGGAACAACTGCTTCAGTTAATGGAAAAAACCGAAGCCAGTCAAGCCGACATGAAAGCCGGTCAAGATGAAATGAAACCCGTCACAGGCAATGGAAGCTAAAATCGAAGCCGGTCAACAAGTCATGGAAGCTAAAATATAAGAGGTATGATTCAAGATGAGATACGGAGTGTTCAAAATACGATACAGTGTGTCCAACATAAAATTCATGCAGTAGGAAATGAAAACTGAAAGTGATGAACTACGAAAACGATTTATGGGATTGACTAAAGAACGCGAAAAAAGTGACGTATTGTCGTCTGTGATAACACAAGATCTGCTTGTTGTTCCCCAAGGGTCCCGCAAAGAAGCCCCCGTATCGTGTGAAAACAATTGGTACGTCCAAAATTCGTGAC